TTTTTTTATATTCATAAAATATTCATTTTACATATTTATGGTATATACCATATACCATATACGAGCCCCTTCCCACTTCAGTTGGCCCAACCATTGAAATCTTAGTTTTTTTCTTATCAAACACAAATAATAAAAATGTACCAGGGTGTTATAGTAGAAAACAGCAACTTTATCACTCCCTAATCAAATTTGCAGCATAAAAATGACACATGTTGCAATTACAGCATATCAACCTATTTTCATTTCAATGCAAAATAAGTCTATAACGCACAGGTGGCTGTGAAAAATAAAAGCCATCCAACTTTGTTAGATTTATCGCGGTACAGTGTGAGAAATATTGTTAGAAGATATAACGTAACTGGTTCAGTTAATATTAAGCCACGATATGTGAAAAAAAAGTAATATCACAAATGCCGACCGAAGAGCATTAAGAAGAATAATCGTGAAAAACAGACGTGCCAATTATTTACAATTAAGTGCTCTGTGGAGTGACGCTGTTGGAAGGAGAATTTCGAGTTCCACAACTCATAGAGAGGCCCACAAACTGGGATTTAGCACTTGCAAGGTAAGTTTTCTTATAAAAAAAGTGAAGTAAAAACCCTAAAGTTGCACAACTTGTTTATAGGCCAAAGAAAAGCCACTATTAACTCCACTGCAAAGTAAAAATCGGCTTAGATGGGCTAAAGAAGATAGACAATGCACACCTCAACAATGGTGTGCAATACAATGGAGTGATGAGGCCTGATTCGAACTTTGTGTTGGTGACAGTCGCAGTAGAGTTATTCGCAAAAAAAATGAAGCATTCCATGTTGACTGTCTGAAGAGAAAAGTGAAATTTCCAGCATCCATTATGGTCTGGGGCAGTATGTCATCAAAAGGAGTAGGAAAACTTCATTTTATTGATGGAAATGTGGATACAAACAAATATTTGGCAATTTTAGAAGAATCGATTTTACCAGTGATGGAAGAATGTTTGACATCGGGCCAAGATTTTGTGTTTCAGCAAGATGGTGCAGCGTGCCGTACCTCAAAAAAGGCTATAAAGTGGATGGAAGAAAATAATGTACCACTTTTGAAATGGGTTTCTGGCATTCCAGGTCTGTCACCTATTGAAACTTTGTGGCACGAGATGAAAAAGGTTCTACGACAACATCCTGCTCGTACAATCACCGAACTGAGACAAAAGCCTCAAGAAATATGGGATTGTTTGACCCCAAATTTTTGCCAAAACTTGGTTAACACTATGCCCCAAAGAATTTCAGCCGTAATAAAAACTAAAGGTGATGTTACCCAATGGTAATCTTTCAATTGTTGCTTTGTTAATTTCGCGCATTTATTCGCACATTGTTTATTTGTTCAGATGTTCTATTAGTTATAGGTCTAAGTGATTTCAAATATGTATTTTTTACGACTAGAGTTTATCTAAAATGTTTTTGAGAAAATAAATTGTTTTAGAAGTAAATAGTTTTGTCATGTTTAGTTTATAAAGGCATATTTTGGTACAAATCTTGAAGTGGACCAACTGAAGTGGGAAGGGGCTCGTATATATATATATATATATATATATATATATATAACAACAAGTAGGAAAATAATGGGCAAAATCCGCAAAAAGGAGGAAAGTGGATTCGAGCGGAAAATATGATAGGTAACCAGAGCGATACGTATTTCTGCTGGTTGGCTTCATCAGGCCCGAAATGAATGCACATATGAAACTACAAAAGTAGATACACATGCCCACACATCCGGATACGGGTGTAACCTGAGGAAACGAAGTTGGAGGGAAAAAAACGACACACGAAGTCCACAACATTATTTTCCTACTTGTTGTTATATACCTTTCTCCGCATGATCATATTCTCTTTGTAGATCCTTTGGGCTTGAAGTACCACAGCAAGTGGCTATAACCGGCCGCGTGGTGGTGGTTAGACGTCTCCTTGAAAATTCGAGGTCGTATAGCCATTTTATACTACAATGTGTAGGTTGGCTCTTGTTGTGGACTTCGTGTGTCGTTTTTTTGTTTTTTTTTTCCTGCAACTTCGTTTCCTCAGGTTACACCCGTATCCGGATGTGTGGGCATGTGTATCTACTTTTGTAGTTTCATATATGCATTCATTTCGGGCCTGATGAAGCCAACCAGCAGAAATACGTATCGCTCGGGTTACCTATCCTATTTTCTGCTCGAATCCACTTTCCTCCTTTTTTCGGATTTTGCCCATTATTTTCCTACTTGTTGTTATATACTTTTCTCCGCATGATCATATTCTCTTTATATATGTATATATATATATATATATATATAGGCTTTAGCAAACTCTTTTAACGGTAATCTCGAGCTTTCGGCACTCTGTATGGAGCCATCTTCAGGAGCTGAAAACACAATTATGACGCTAGCAACCAATATGGGAAGGATTTAAATTATCAGACAACTTACTCGTAGCTGAGGTTGTAACCAAAAGGTGTTTCAAAAAGAACGCATGGATGAGAGCACTTGTTACAAATATAAAACCAAACGGAGAGACACATCGGGTTTATTGATGACGACGGAAACCATCGTTAGGTATAACACTATATATCAATACACCCGAATACATTAAAAATGATCGAAAAGCAATTTTGGGGGGGAAAACCGGCAAAGTCCCTTCTAACCTCCTACATCTGTTTCACGTGGAGAAAATGAGCGAACCGGAAGAGTGATGTGTTGACAGGTGACAGGTGATTGTCGCGAAGGAATGTGGAAATGTAAACATCATTGCCAAACTTCGGGTATTGTGTAAGTTGGTGATACACGCTTGAAAATATGAGTTGTATGTAAATACATTAAAATTTCTTATTACCGTGAGGGCAATGTTTCAAATAACAGAATAAATAATTATATATATATATATACATAAAATATATTATATATTTCCACGATATTTTTTCCAATCATTTAGAAAATACCTATATGAGAAAAGATTTTTGAAATCAGTTTTGTATTTTGATGAAATATCTGATATTTTTCGTAAATATTTAGGAAATATATGAAGCAACATATTTTGAAGCATTTATCTGATACATATTACCAGTGTATTCTTTAAAATGGTTCATTGGTTATTTTAGCAAAAATGTATGAATACTTTTCTGGGTTTGTAAAGAAAATCCATTCTAGATGTAGTAAAGGGTGTTATTTTCTAGAAAAATATAATTAAACACATTCTAGACCTCCTCTACATCTTGCAAATCCATTTCCCTGAAAAAAAAAACTTACTTATTATGAAGTATTATTGGATACATATGCTGCTTTCTAGTGGTTTTTTGTTTGAGAGTGATATTCTCCTGAATTGCTCTAAAAAGTGTATATATGGGAATATACAGTGCAGTGGAGCAATATGGGTACTAAGCACTGAGTTGCTTCGAGTTACTCAAGTTGGCAGCATTATAATGTATCTAAAATGACTCGGCATATACTTCTCATGAGAGTTCGAGATTTGGTAGTTTTTCTGAAAATTTAGGATGGTTTAGATATCTTGATGAAAAGTGTCCATGGACACAATTTGATTCTTAGACTAGCTTTCAAAAATAAGTTTTTTAAAATGTGACATTTTCACAGTAGTATGGTGGTAATTTAGCCATAACTATTTTGGGATGTTATATTATAATTCAAGAGACAAAAAATATAGTATTTTCGATATCTAAAATTAAATCCACCAATCCCAAAGTCCTACAAGAAGTATGCTGGTCCTTTTATATTTTATCGGAAATAAGTCTGTCACACTTCAAGGCCTTGTAAATACCTTCTATACTTAAGTGGCACAATAATGCTTACTAGTCAGATAAATTAAGCTAAGTAATTGTCGTAAAACTTACCTTTTTCCACAAAGAAACACTCAAATAATGTACCACTTGGAGGTACACACGATGTACGCCATCACAGTCAAACACACAGGCAAAGTGGAAGCCGGCAAGTGTGTCGGCTCAGGTCGGCTTACCATTATGCCATTGGTCGCTCCGGTTCACACGCACATGCGCCGTAGCCAAAAATATTTAATGAATATTTTCTAAATAATGAGATTTTAATATTTTCCTTTGATTTAAAAGTAAACATTTGATAAATATTACAGAATAAATATTGGATTTAAAATAAATCAAACATATTGATTGAATAGTACGAGTGTTATAATCCAAATATTTATCCAGTATTTGCTTAAGATAACAAATATTCAAATAAGATAAAAATATCATTATACATTTAATATTTTGTGCTATCGGGGCATTTGAACTGCCCTGCCCGCAGAGCTTTATAAAGCCTCCTTTATGGGTGGATGGAGATGCTAAGGTGAGAGAAATTCCACCTGCAGTCCTTGTGGAGGATTGCAAGACATTGTCTTGATCTCTCCTTTGATACCCTGGTTGCTGAAGGGCTGAGTGGACAGGTAGGTCTGCGATTGGTTGTTCCTGTAGCTTCACTAGCATTTTCTGTTGCAACCTTGATATGGTAAGAATCCTTGCCGAGCAGTTTCCAAAGTTGTTTCGAGGAAAGACGACGCGAAAACCTCCCTGCAACCTTATAGACTGTCTTCAAGCAGACCTTGAGTAAATTCAAGCCTTATCCTGTATGATGGTGGACCCACTACAAAATCGGATTTTTTTAAGATAAATCCATTGGTCCACGAAGACATTATAATCACAAAGAATACAGAAATGATCCACTTCAGGTGCTGGACAATGGAAACTCTGGTAGAAAAGCCATCGCGGATAACTATGGCTGCCTCACTCCAAAATTGGATTTTTAGGTTAAATCCGATGGTCCACGGACACATTATAATCACAAAGAATACAAAAATGATCCACTTCAGATACTGGACAATGGACACTCTGGTGGAAAAGCAGAACTTTCAGAATGTTTGGTGTAGAACTGTGATCTGTGCAAAATCGGATTGCTTAGGTTAAATCCAATGATAGACGTTCACATTGTAACCGTACAAAATACAAAAATGATCCTCTTCAGATACTGGTCAATAAACACTCTGGTAGAAAAGCAATCGCGGATAGCTACGGCTGCAGAGCTTTCAGATCGATATGGTGTATGATGGTGGCCCCACTCCGAAATCGCGCTTAAAGCCGGCCACTGTCATCAAAGCACTTCTGTTTCGCGCGGTCCGCAGTATCACGGTGTGTTAGCAGGAAATCCGAATCGCAGCTGCAGGATTTAATTTGCTGTCCGGCCCGAATACGCGCGGTATCATTGTTATCTTTCAATTTGAACACTTGTGCAGTGCTTAAATTCTCGCGCGGTACATTGTTTAATAGCAAGGTAAGATATTGTATCCTCGTACATATGGAAGATTCTGAATTTAAATTTTTCCAGGGCACAAAGTTTGGAAATATATGTACTCGTATATCTTTCAGTATCACTTCTTATGCGAATCTTACATATATATACGCATAGATGTTCAGTTTTTTATTTACTTAGGGCTGAGCGTACTCGGTATAAGTATAAAAGCATATTCAGTTTGAAAATATCCCGTAATTTGAGCTTTTAGTGGAGAGTGAGATCTCACGCAATACATTGAAATATTGCTTCTGGTGGATTTTTTATCAATACATTCCAGTTGAATTCTAAATGTACTGCCAAATACACAGTGCGTGTTCGCAGAAGTAAAAAAAGATGATGATATTCATTAGCAATAAAAAAGCTACAATAATCATGAAGAACTATACATAAGATCAATTAACACTATTACAATCACAACAATTTGAAAAAGCACAAAAACGAAATAAAAAGAGCAACTGAAATTCTGAAAAGTCACTGTTGGAAAACTCATCAAACTTGTAGTTCATCAAGGTGTTGCATTCTCATATGGATAGACCATTTTTGTGTTTCAAATTTCCCATGCTTTACCAATCAGATATATTCTGTACTAGCCATGCATCCAGGTAAGTTCATTTTAAAATTTTCTATAGGCAAAAATTGAAAATGCTTGATACACAAATTATGTTTGAGTGTTGTTATTAACATATGTGTGTAACACAAACATGAATCTTGCTAAATTAAAAGAAATTATTTATCTGCGCGCTGAAGTGATCAAAAGTATAAAAAACGGTACAAAATATATTTTCGATTTTTTTATTGATTTTACTCCAAAGTAAAACTTACTGATTTTTTTCAGAAAAAAAATTGCAAGTGTTAAAAATTGGCTGTAGGGGTGGGGGGTAGTGTACGACAATTTTTTTGGTGCTAGCAATTTATACGTTGCCAGGTGCTGGTAATTCTACGCACCTATTAGACTTATTTCATACACCATATGTTTCCCCGTACATTTGCCCTTAAAACTTGAACGATGGAGATGAACCTTCAATATACGCGAATCCGACAACTCAACGAAAGTACGTTTATCTGCTTCGATTGCGAGGGGATAACAGATAAACTGATTCAATTAGCGTGCTGCGTTGCTTGGTTGCTGAGTAATCGGTACTGTTGGTATAGCGCTAGGCTAGATCGCAATGCTGTCAAATCTGTGGAGACTATGAGCCTGTTTGACTGTCATGATCTTGTGATCAATGTGATATCTGAGATTTTATTCTAATTTAACCTAAGCCGTATCGAGATCACCCATGCATAGCATCCTTAAGTTGGACACCCTCTATACAAAGTCCATTGCGTAGGAAGTGTGGAGTCAACCTACTTGATGCCATTTTTTTAATCCCCGCCCCTTCAAAAATGCTTCATGAGTTTCAGAAGTTGTGCAAAGGAAGCCTGACGATCTCCAACCTGTTGGTAGGTGGAGATCGTCATATTTTTCACCCACCTCCGCACAGTATTTCGGGTTTTGTTTGCTTTTGGTTCTTCTATCGCTCAGGACTACCAGACCTATAACGCACAGATGAGTTGCTAATGAGTACGAAACAACACTGTCGGCGGTTGGTCGTGGTTACACAGACGGGAAACAAACGTGTCCATTTCAATCAATCTACTTGACTCATTTTTTAAGACCTGGCCCGGTACCGTTTACTCAATACAATTTTTTATATACGGAATTCAGAATATTTTACACTTCGCAAATTTATTGTGCCTATTTTATGTTTACATCGTGAGATAAAACTACTGATCGATTATTGATTTTATTCAACATCAATCCATATACATTGACATACTAGTGTTATCTGTCTCAATGTAAATTGCATGGATAGCGTTATCTGCAATTCCTACTAGTTGTCGTCCATATGTTATTCAATACCACACACGTTATATAAACTGATGATAATTGTTCATTTGTCTCATTTCATGTGCATCTCAAAAGGACTTAAAATGGACGGTTTGTATGCAATATATTTTGTAATTGCTTGTTTTGTTGCCTGTGCCACTATTGTAGCTGCATGAAATTATTTTGAAGAAAAGCTATGTGAAACACTATTACTGTCTAACTTATGTATTCTTCTGCATATTGTATATTTTGAAGCACTATCAACAGCACTCAATAAGAATAATTGATTTCGATAGTACTGCAGTATAATCGTTGACTTGTGTTGCGTTAGGGCCAGTCTATCCCTGACGGTCTAAGCAAGTTAAATGGCGGCTTTATTGCAGAAATATATACGTCAAACAATGCAATTTTTATTGTGAATGCTTAAAAATGAAAATATTTGAATTAAAGGAGTTCCAAAAATTGTATTCCATTATCCAATGTTTGAAAATTTTGCTTACACGTGTTAGGGACACCTAAAAAATTCGTTAAATTTTACAGTATCGTTGAGATTATTTAATACGAATTTCCAGTTGAGCCAATAATAAGATTCCACAACCTAGCTTGGCGGGTGATATCTCTGATCGGACTTTTTTGAAGGGTGCGTATGAAAACGTGAAGCTTTGTAGAATTCCAGAGTCCTAGGTAAAACAGTTCGGCATGGGGATGTGCTCAGACTTTGAACATCCAGACATCTAAAAAAAATATCAAAAAATGGCTTTAAAGGCCAATTCGACCGATTTAGAGGTCCGAAATTCAACTTAAAGAGGGCGATAGGGCGGTCCTTCTCATTTACAAAAAGAAAATTTTTTGCCAGATTTTTTGTTTTAACAAGTACATATTTGAATTTTGTCAGTCCAATGAAAGAGTAAAGCATTTCGAAAATACGTTTGACTAAAATATCTTTCGAAGAGTTCGCAATTTGGAGGTCATTTTTCAGTTTATTTGACAAGCTTAATTGAGGAAAGTTTTATGATACAGACGTAGCGAGAAAATGGAAAAGTTATCAAAACGCTAAAATTCACTTTTTCCGAATTTTCAAACTTCGACCGAGCACCTTGGAATTTCTCAAAGCTTCCAGAAACAAAAATTAACCATGATCTGAGATATGACTCAACAGGCTAGGTCGTGGAATCTAAGAGGACAATTTTTGCGTTCATTTTAAGAAGAAAACTTTTATGAACGTATGTTCTGAAGATCTTGACTTCTGAGATATAGCGTGGGAGAGTTTTCAATATAGAAAGTAGGTAGCATGCCAGTGAGTTTTCTCAAAATAAAAAACAGAAATCTGTATTCCTTCATGAACAAATTTGATTTTCTTACTTCGGTGCACGGCTTTACCTTAAATAATAAACCTTATACTCTTGTCAGCTCAGCTCGTTTTCCAGCGAGACCAAGCCTACACCATGCTGATGAGTTACCAAATAGCACGAAACAGCTATGCAGGCTGGCCATCTGTGGTCCAACGAAAGAAAGCTTTACTATTAAAATAAAAGCTTCATCAGATTAAAACAAATCAAGCGTTCAAGTTGCTTAGAAATGGTATACCATCAATTTTTTCCAAAATAGACAGGTAACTTCCGTATGAACGCCATTGGTGTAAATTAAAAAAATTTAGGGCATTAAAAATAACTCGTGATACATGTACTATGTGCCATATTTTATCACAATATCTCAAGTGGAATTCACAGGTCTTAATACTAAAGTAATTTATGTTTGAAAACTTTTCGGCCGTAAAAGTTAAGACGTTTAGGACATACGTTTTATGAAGTTTTTTTCTTAAAATGGGCCCAAGAATCACCAACTTAAATATTGACACTCAATGCACCCCAGCACACTTTTATAGTACCCTGTATACTCAATCAGTTCAGCTCAAATCGGGAGCTTTATTATCTTTGAAGTAATCTTCATTGAGAACTCAATCCCGATCTATCCGCTCTGCAAGGATTTAATAGAATTTATATCGAATTTCAGCGATGGAGGCTAATCAGTTTAAGGACTTTGGCAAGGAGATGATTGACTACGTAGCCAGTTATCTTGAGAATGTAAGAGAAAGGTGAGCTTACAAGACTTTATATAGATCAGAATATAATAATCTGTAAGTGAAATTACAAAATATTATTTTTGCGAATAAAATGTAAAAAATTGAAAGAAAACTTGCTGCAATGTTTCATTTTGTCTGACTATGACCTCAATCAATAAACGGTTCTTAAAAGTAAAAAACGAATTAACGTCAATGACGTTACAGGAGTTTTTTCGAGCAGATATTTGAGGTGGAGCTCAATAATTATGATAGCTATGTCAGACGATCAGATGATTCCTCCATCTAAAGCGTTTTTCAATTATTTAAGCTCGAATTGATTCGAGGATCCATATTTTACACTATTATTTTTCCTGACTGAAACGAAGAAGTCTGAACAGGATTTTATCAGCATTTACATTCCAACAGGAACTGAACCTCCGGCTTAAAATATTTCACTCTCTTACGGATGACTACTGGTCTAAGAAAATGTGTGAAAGTTTTAGGCTGCGGTTTTAGGCATTGCAATCTCACATCAATCGCAGGAGCCGTTTTGAGGCTTCGCTTACTACTTTACCGTAAAATATTTAATTTCTACCGGCTTTTTACTGCAAAAGCTCCAGTTCTCCAACAAGATAGAGCAGATGACCATACCTAGGCAGATAGAATCCTCCGCTCTTCAATTTTGTACAACATTCGCTATATCCATTTGAAAGCGGTTCGGTGCAGTTCTGTAGTTTTTACGGTAAATCTGCTGTTTTGAGCCTTCGACTGCCATTCTACGGTACAACGCTTAATTTATACAGTTTTCACTGAACAAGTCTGGGTCATCTACCGCCAGCGGTGCATCTAAGTTGAAGCACTATGCGTCGGGCCCCTCAAGCGGATCCATAAATTGGGCTAAATTTCGCTCTGACAAAGGGCCCCCCGAGCCGAATTGTAAGCGGTTCGCAACCGGGCGCATGCTTCTGAACTACCATACCCATACGGGCTTTGTGCGTCAGGCCCCAGGGATCCAAGATCCGTCCTGAATACATGTTTCCAAAACGTTCAGGCCTACCGTTTATTTCCAATAAAATGAGGCAAATTGCTGTATTTGGAGAAGCTCCTGTCGCAATCGCTCTTAAAATATTCATTCTCTTGATTTATTATTATCCCTCTGCGCCAGAACTCCCCCCCGCTATTCTTCAATTATGAACAGCATGTGCTCTATCCATAAAGATCAGAAGCAGTTTTTCACGGGTCTATTGTCATGAATATTATTCTACCGTTTATTTTTTGCATCTACCACTTTTAAAATGTCGCGTCTACCCTTTCCAGCATTTTTGGTCTGGCAACACTGCTTTGACGTCAATGATGATTTCGGGGAGAACATATAACAGGAGTGACGTCATCGTCTAAGTAGCTACACTTTCGCGAAAAAATTTGATATGTTAGCTCGAAGCGGCATTTAATTCATTAAATCGTTCTGCTTTAAATTCATTTGTATATCATTCTATAAGAAATCCTTTGAAATATCAGCAAAAACAAAAATATCGCATCTACCCAGTCATTAGTTTGCCCGCCTATGCATAAAAAATAAGAATTGTTGAAAACCGGATGTAATGTGGTGCAAGATAAAATATCTTAACATTATCCTATCACACCTTCTTTCTCTGCTATGATGTAAATTATAGCATTGTTTGCATTATAGTGAGTACTAATTGCCACAAGTATGCTTTTTGTACAGTAGAAGAAAATCGATAATATATCACTGAATGGGTCAAGGTTTCTTAAAATATACTAGACGACTTTTACTATACGTATGCTGATCTTAATTTTCTGCCGACGAAGCGATTGATATAGCGATATAGACATCATAACATAAAAAGCCTAGTAACTCCACCCTAATTTATGCAAAACCTCAAAATTAAATGATTTGGCTATGCAAGATGGTTGTCAGATCAGAAGCCACATTATCAGATTGATAATGCTCCGACCAAAACAAATTTGGAGTCATTAGTTTCTTTCGGGAGCCTTTACACTTTACCTTCTTTACTAATAGAAATGAAGAAACACCCAATTCGAGACACGATATTTTTGGATGCATTTTACTTCACAAAAAAAACTGGTCAGTTGGTTATGACTAAATTTACCTCAGCATGGCATTATAGTGTTTGAAAATGCATCTAGTAGTAACTATGTTGGTTCCGATTTAAGATTTTTGCAGATAAATGCAAATGTGAAAAAGAGTTTCATTATTGTTACTAGTGAATGTCGGGCGTCAACGTTAATCGAACTTATACCTCTATTTAAATGCTGTCTATTTTCATAGCAAAGACCTAAATAGACTGCCGAAATAGCACAAACTGTTTCAAATGAACTTCCATTACGATCGCCGCTTCCAGTTCCAAGAAAATACAAAAGCAACAATGACTTATGTTTTCGTTGGATACCATCATGTAAGATTCCGACTAATTACTAGGCTGTCAAAATTTCGTTACACTTTAGTAGTATAATTCAAAACTTATTAGAGAAGAATCGATTTAATAGCATCCTTTATGGGTCCGTATCTCCATTAGAAGAGCCCCGTATGACATTTTTCATAGGAACTTGTGGCATATCTTTCGTGTTTTATGATACATAAGATGCTGACATGTTATTCTGGAACACCATGTAAAATGTACATACCACTCGCTGCCTGTCCACGCATTAAGCTTCCAACAAGCCATCGGGGGTTTTCTGAATTCCTACTCATCCTTTTTCTACAAAATGGTAGTGAGCGCAAAATTACGAGTTAGGCTGGAATTTCCCACTGCGTCAGAGCTGTAGTCAAATTGCCTAACGTTACTTTTTTAAGATCGTGCGTTTCACAGTCTGATTATTTTTCCAAGGAAACAGTATCCCGTAGAGTGGGATTATACAGGAAAGCTTCGCTCACGCAGAGATACTTGTCATCTTAATAAGCGGCATATTTAGAGGAGCTTCAACGGTACACCGAGAGGGGCATATTTATATGCTGCAACAGTCAAGCAGCCCTAAAGGCAATTGTATCTCCAAGGACAAGTTCCCCTTTAGTTCAGAAATGCACTAATGATCTTCGAAGCTAAGCCTTATACAAAGAATTGACCCTGCTTTGGGTCCCTGGACACAGTTGAGTACCGGGTAACGAGAGAGCTGATTATCCGGCAAGGCCTGCAACTAGGACCTCCAGCTTAGGTTGGGTATAAGTAAGCATCAGACGAACGCGGTACTGTAGAGTTGTGTCGTTCCAGTCCAACCCGTTCCGATTGAACGGGTCCTGTCGTAGATCGTGTCAACGCCGCACTAAATGAATAGACGTATAGGGACCTAGGATACTAGAAAAAGTGTGTCGAGAAAGATACATCTACAGGCAGGCCAAGAATTTAATAGGGGTCCCAACAAACATTGGATGCGCTGGCATTGGAAAGAAGTAGAGAATCGCTCAATCTTTGGGTTTGCGTTCTGACCGGCTACTGTAGACTGAACAGATACTTATCTCTTCTGCGCGCGAAAAGATATTCAATTCACCCCATGTACTGCGAGGACGAGACATAGTTCCACTTTCTAGGCTTTTTGCCTAAGGGATTAGATATTTGGAGCTTTGGAGCTTAATTGTGAAGTTGCTTGCTCATGCGGAGTGGTTGGACGTCCTGACCTTCACTGGAAAATCAGGAAGGTAGATGAGTGAATAAACATGTGGGGTAGAGTGTTGGTACTCTCGGTGTCGGCAAAAAGGCCACACGTGGCCTACTTTTCAAGCTTCGCTTCCCCACCACAACTACTATTAATTTTTTAAGTTGAATTTTGATTGCACTAATTCTAATTGTTTCACGTTTGTCTTTTGTATCGAAAATCGGAGACAACACTTTCAATATATCTCTGAATGGGTCAAGGTTTGCTAAGATATATCAAACGACTTTTACTACTGACCACAATCTTCCACAGGCGTGTGCGACTGTGTTACAGATATGTTTTATTAATTGGTTCTTACAAGAGAGTGAAAAAAATATGCTCCAAGGCAGCCTTGATGTCTGAACTGGCGTTAAGTTACTGGTATCACTATCTTGTTTTTTCTGTCGATGGGTTGAAATATCTGCGGTAGATGTGGAACATAAAAATGCAAATCGAGCAAATCAACAACTTTTACTTTTCACAGAAAACGTGAGGAAACTGATTTTTAATAGAATTTAGCGGAAACACTAGCAAAGTCTTTAGACCAGATTATCTAAAATCACCGAAAAAAATGTATAGACGTGTTTTATAACAGAATTATTATTATTTTTTTTTAATAATGAAAAGGCTCTTCATCGAGAAGGGTTTGCTTGGGTAACTTGCTTATTAAACGTGAAAGTTGACTAAACAAATCACTTTTCGCGTAAAAAACCTGCAGTCTGTTGTCCACTTTTTTTTACAAAAATGTGTATAACAACAAAAGATCGGCTCTGAAATTGACTCAGATTTCAAGTTTATTGCATCTATGAAGTTTTTGAATCATAAAATATTTATTTTTATTTTGTTAACTCTTTTTTTAATTTAGTACTTGATTGTTCTTTGTAAGAGTTTGTTTATAACAAGAGCGCATAGTCGCAACACCTAATTCGAATCTAGAATAAATCACACAGATACAAAACACACAAAAAGATCTTGTGAAACTGGGCTTAAAATAAAAGTTGAATTCCCAATATAATTGTATATTCATTTATTTAAACTTTTGTTTGTATTTGAGTGCAATGGCGCAACACTTTAAATTTTATATATGTTTTGGACTTGATCCCGTGACTTTAAAAGGACAATCAAGGGCTAAACCTAAAAGAGAAATGTTAGTGAACGTTTAAAATATAGATGCTCTGGAATATTTAAACGCAAAAATTTCATAGATGATCCTTTGAAAATAGCGAAATGTTAGTAACTTTTTTCAGTAATCGCCACAAAAATCGGACATATACAGTCTCATTTTAAAGGTATTGTGATCCATTATGACCGTTTTGTAGGCCACATGCTTTATCGTTTTTTGAAAAATGTAGTTATTATAATTTTGAAAAAGGTTGAAATGCAAAAGGCTTTCACGGCTAGCATCCAATATAATTTGGTTGGTTTTTGGGTTGTTAGGCCGTCGTGAAACATTTTTACTTGACGATTCGCCAACACGAGTGGTTGGCATCTACAGAAGATGTTCACAGTTTGGAGTCCTATGAGCAACAGTAGCCTAACAGCCCAAAAACCAACCAAATAATATTTGAAAAAGGTTATTCAGCATTTTTTTGTGTCCTTAAGATTCCAATGCAAAATCCGTCTATACGATATCTTTTAAAACACGATAGATTTTTGGGTAGATGGCCTAATCTAAATGTACGGTAGGTCGTTCGTTTTGATACTTGAGCTTGAGCTTGAGAAGGCTCAGGTACCTACATAAATAGAGAATGTACATTTTGAAAAAATGTTAAGATCCATCAAGCTGAATGAGCTTTAGCCCATAATATAGAAACTTAAAGTTTGCGATAAGATCCGCCATTTTCATTTGATAGAATTTTAGTATACTCAGTGTTACTCGCACTGTCAAGACAAATCTACTCGTAGAGACACCTCGTATATCATAATCCACCCAGCTGCTTAAGCTGAAGCCCGCAAATACGAACTTCAAGGTTGAAACTTTCAATAAAAATCCGCCTTTTAGATTTTATAAAATTTTAGTATATAGGTACCCAATATCACTCGCACGGCCCAACAAAGTGTAGATGCAAAGTACTTTCCGACTAGCTAAGATGCAAAGTACTAGTTCTCGAAGATGCAGCCACACGCAAATGAAGTCAGGCCAGAAATACCATGATTCTATACTAGTCAAGTTTTTGAAAATGTTTATTTTGATTTTATAAAACTTTAGTTTACCCAGTGTCACTTGAACTGTCAAGACAAATCAAGCCAGGGATTCCTCATATGTCAAAATTCATTAAGCCTTTTAAGCTGTAGCCCTTGGAATAGGAATTCAAGGTTGATTTTTTTCATAATTTGAACACTCAATTTTGGCACCCATCTCCCACCTCTCCGCCTGGTTAAAATTATCTAAATATACAGCAAAAATAGTGTAACTAACAAAAAGGGTTTTCTCTTGGTAGATGCTTTCATCACTATCGCGTAATTTTAAAAATTTGCGTTTGAATTACAGTGATACTCGAAAAATCGCGGAACCTTATTTAAGAGAGGATCAATCACTATTTCCATGAATCAATTAATGATATTTAACAACTTTTGCTATAATTGGATATACCAAAATGAATTTCATTATATCTCTATCATCTACGTCATCAAACCAATTAAAAAATCATCATTTATGAAAATTAAAATGTAATCCTAACCTATTTCAAGGTAGTGTCGAAATCATAATTAACTTAAATCGAGATAGTCAATAGAGAGATCGTTCATCGGAATCTGTAATATTAGGATGTATAAATTAGTGAAATTACCATGTACGTATTGCATATAACATTAGGGAGAATATTGGTAATTTAAAATAAATGATTTGGGAAAATTTGGTGATGCTACATTTACTCCAACGCATATTCATTCGAAAATCTCAGTATAATTGTAAAGTAACTGCTACTGTAATTGAAGTTCTAATTGGTTGATAATATGGTAGCTCAAATTATTGAAGTGTTACTCATATCGTCGAATCATAGTTAATTATCGTTATGCCTGTAACTTAAGCCAATGTGCATGTAATGAATGTTCGAAAAAATCTCATCATTCCAAAAATTTCGTTATTTCTTACTTTACACATAACAGATTCCTAAAAATTTCTATACACCGTACGCTCCAAAAGGTCAAAAAGAAGATATTAAAAATTCCAATCTCACAAAATTTAAAATTTCCAAATTGAACAAATTATGGCTACGCTCTTAAACAGGGTACGTTTTTTAGTGTAGGCTCCATTATTACGCACGGTATCGAAATAGTTAATTACAAAAATTATAGTCAAGAGTATGCCCCTTACTTGGAAAAATTGTTTATCTCTAACAGAGTGATCCATAGCTATGTACGTGGTAACCCAAACATGCTTTTTTAAAATGGAAAGACCTTCATTTTATTGCAGATTCGGATAGGTCCTTGCAAACAAAGGAATTTGATATAACATACTGTAAACCTTCGCAGCTTTTACAGCTAGAGTAATGAACTTTTCGTCAGAAGGATTATTGTTGTTTCAGTTTTTTTATTCTTCTTTTAATGTGCTTTTCGTGATATAAGGTTGCAGCATACTTATTTTCTGAATCGAATTCTGAAAGTGTAAAGTCGATTCTGTTACCAATTTTGGAAACTTTTAAAGATTAATGAAAATCTGTTCCGATTATTCCCTGCAAATTCATATGCTTCCATTTCCAGACGAGTTCTTCCAACAGTGGAACCTGGATACTTGCGGCCTTTGATTCCAGAAAAAGCTCCAGATAAACCGGATAAATGGCAGAATGTTTTGGCAGATGTGGAGAAAGTCATCATGCCAGGTGTAAGTAGGTAACTTGATTACAAATCCTAATTCTTAAAATGTTTACATAATTACATTTTTAGCAGTAAAATCTCATCGACTGCCAATGTTCAATAGAAAAAAGCAAGGCGGAATGCTCATATAAATATGGTTCCTAAAATATTCTCTTACAGAGACACAGGGTGTTGTTTATTTCTTCGTCACTTATTGGAGATAAATGAGTGTAATGCCAAACTACATTAACTTCAGCGCATTTGTTTTTCTAAGAAGTCAAGTAATAAATGAAAAGAAAAATTTTAATATTTGTAAGTAAAAATTTCATAGATGCGACAAGTTTAAAATTTGAGTTATTTGCAGGAACGAGATACGCCCTTACGGACACTGATTCTTTCTTATGTGAAACTGAAATTCTTTTGAAAATGAATTACTCGAAAAAATCAGTTAATGTCATATGCTCTTTGGTTCTCTATATGGGTTGAAACCTTCCAGTTCGTGATTTAGTGAGCACATCTTCCACCCTGTATATGTGTAACAGGACAATTCAGAACCTACAGCAGCTTTGAAATTTATTTTGCAACGTATTCGTATTTTTGGTACACCGTTCACCGTTTGAAGAAACTTCTAATATAACAGGAATCATGAAATAATTTTTGAATATTCATCTTATAGTTGAAGTATATTTTAAGATACTATCTTGATGCATTTATTGTTACAGGTAACACACTGGCATTCACCTAGATTTCACGCGTATTTCCCAACGGCCAATTCGTATCCAGCCATAGTCGCAGATATTCTGAGTGGTGCAATCGCGTGCATCGGTTTCACTTGGGTAAGACAATCTTATTTTATTTCTTTATTATTTAACATAAGTTATTTTCTTCTTGTACCATGCAGGGTCAGTATAACAAATAAACAGATATTGTTTACTGGATAAACGTTTTATCATGCAACTTATTAAATTTAAGGTTCACAAACTGTTCTGCATGACCTGACCAACTTAAGACTAACGTTGTCATCAAAATATCTGCTTATGTTACTTGGACTGCAGAAATTTTATAGATCACATGTTGAAAACTGACGCTGTCCTACTGCACCATCTAGTGCCGCACCACACCTGCTGAATTTATGGCTGCTAACTGCTCTCAATAAATTTGTAGAACTGCAGAAATCTTCAATAATTAAAGATTTAAAATTATTTTAAATGTTAAGAGTTTCTGTAAAATCGACGCATGGCCTTATCAGGTGGTTGCTCTTATTTGCTACAGGTACCTTACATATAAAGGTCTTTCATTGAGATGAAACGTTAAATACTTAATTGAATTTATTCGTGAAAACGTCTGAAAAGTAAACATTTGAAACATGTTTTCTAAGTGGAATGGTTAACCATTTTGAAGGCCTTATTGGAGTTTTATAAACCTAGAGTATGCATGTGGTATCTTTAAAATCACGGGCTAGCAAAGTTCAGCATTTTTGTACATTAAATCGTTCATAACTAATCATGAAAATTAAATTTAATCGCATCGTTGTATCAGGTTATATCAATCTTCTTATTTTGGAAGGGACTATTCGAATGTTCAATTAAATTTCGGACGCTATGATTAAAAAAATTATATATTTAGGGTACTGGCTAGAGAAGAAGAATCATATACAATGTGTTTGGTCACGACATACCGATATTTGAGGGGGATATTTTTCAGCTATTTTTATCGACAAATCCACCCCCTATGTCATACCTCACCCCCGTTGAAATGGATCCATACCGCTGCGAACGAAATTAGGGCTGACACGGATATGGTTTGTCGCTCAACACGTCACATTGTGTTAAGAACAACAATGTGCATAACCAATAATGGAGTATATTTTGAACAGCTTCTGTAACATTAAACATGTCCAAACTCTCTATAAGAAACATTGATTTGTCATTTTTATGTATAAAAGGTTTGAAAACAATTTGCATTTTATTACACCCATTTTGACCCAGGTTAGATAGTATTTATTGCTTAACGTAGAATACTTAGGATAACAAAAAGCTGTAGAATTAGCATAAAAAAGTACTTCACAGACTAATTTTTGAATTGTGAGCGGAAATGCACAAAATAATCAATTTTCTTCCACAATTTTGTCTGCTTTTGTCTGTTTTTCAGTATGTTTGACGGTTAGTATCAAAACAAGTTTTTCAATAATCGCTAGGCCAACATTTCATCGATCAAATGACACCAAATTTATCATTCTGTGACAATTACGTACTCAGTTATTACAATTTTCATACATGCACTACCGTAATCGTAACGTGAAAATAAAAATGGACTCCATTTCAAGGGAGATGAGGTAGGACATTGTAGGGGGGTGGATTTGTCGATAAAAATAGCTGAAAAATACCCCTCTTAAATATCTGTATATCGTGACCAAACACATTGTATAATACTATAGCGGTTTGATGTCAGGAATTTTTCTAGTGAGATATATGTTTACTGAAAAATATACTAAAGTGCTTTCCTTGCTACAAAAATAAAATTCTACGCACTTCCCTAAGAAACTCACATGCATGAAATTTTTAAGTTCTTTAAGAGGTAAACAATTTTTTTGGACTAATTCATAATACCCACCAATTATACAGTTCTAACAAGATCCACAAAGATTATTATGTGGTTTTCACTCTACTAGATGAAAATATAAAACTATGTATCCTCTCATTAGGAGCACGAAAAAGCCAGTTGCCGATTTTTTGCGGAAAATGACATTCTTTTCAATAAAACTAAAATTTTATGTTCGTCACTTGTCATTGAAACCATGAAAATTTGGCATTTCAAGATTTCATTGTTTTCACGTCATGGTGACCATTTACAATTTCGAAAACATAATAATTATTAAAGTCCTCCTCCTCACTCTGCTCAAGGCCCAGGTAAGACCTAGCCTCGAATACTGCTCACATGTCTGTGGTGTTACCGCTCCAACCACATTATCCATACTCCAAGCTGTTCATAGGAGGGCTGTTCGACTGATTATAACTCTTTTCTAACAGACAGTCTCGGGGCCCTTTTGCACCGACGAGCTGTCTGCGATGTGGCTCTCTCCTACCGCTTTGCTCATCCGATCTGTCCTCCATGATGTCTCCGCATGATGTGTCTGCTAGATAGACCCCGCCTATCTTCGGCCTTCTATCCTAACCGTCTCTAACTTTGTACATCCAGAACTGGCCAGTACTCATTGGTATCACGATTGTGAAATTAGCCTGAGGAGGCTTCTCCCAGTTCTACTAAACTCAGGCAGTTCAAAAATCTGATTGATAAAGTATCTCCAGGCTCCTTACAGCATCCGCGGTGCCCCGTCTTCTGCCTACGCGACTGCTTCAGTACCAAAAAAGTCGGAGGTACCACCAACAAGATCGTTTGTCACCCTCACCCCCCTTCAGAGTCCTATGAACCACACGAACTTAAGTACTACATAGGCTACTGGTTGTAACAGAAGCATAGTTGACTAGAGCTAGGAATCTACTAATAACAATATATCTCATAAGAATGATGTCAGTGACTACTAAGAAAAATTCCATTATTATTTCAACACTACCTGATTAATGATATATCTGAGACAACTATTGTTGAAAGATGACAATCTGAAAATCACTCCAGATACACGAAATGTGTGCTTTCTGAGAAAGACTCAAAACAGTGGATGACTTGCACTACACGAAGCATGATTTGCGCTGAGAATCAATTATTATGCTGTTAAGGTGATAAAATATTTTTATTTTTTTTTTGTTACAATACGAATACAATGAGTTAAAGTTTTTCCTATGCTATTGGTAAGTGACAACTGACAAGGCTACTTCACCTGGACTATGTGCAAGCACAAAATAACAATTCAGGTTAAATCTAAACTTTCCTAAATGTGCTTTTGTTTTTCCGGTAGGTTTTTAAGACTCATTCACCTTGCAAGAATTATTGTAATGGGAACAATTGGCTAATGTCGTAACTTCTCCTCTACCAGTGAGCATTGAAAATCGAGAGTAAACTTTTGATATTTATCTTATTTGGTCAAGGCTCTTGGTGATATTCAGTAATATAACAGCTGTTAACTAATATTCGCAACGTTATTGAAGAACTGACCGCTGAACAAAAGTTGACTGTACGATTTATGCATTTGAATGGATGTACAATAGAATGATAAGAGAGTGACAGGCAGATTATTTGGCAGGAACACACTGAAGTATCTTGAGTCATCGAGCAGATTAAGTATTTTTTAAACTTCACATGAACTGAAAAGGCAACCTTACTACTATTCGTCATTGTTCGTCAGAGCGGTCCGGTGGACCTTTGCTTTTAGTTAAAAGTCGGTCTGTTAGTCTGTTACTCGAATAATTTTGTAACAACAAAAATAATTTTGATTGGTTTTGTATACTGAAATAATTTTGGTTGGTGTAAAATTCACAATTTAATTTTGATCACAATGCGAGGCGCGGTCTGGAATGTTTTCGCACTTGCACGACTGTGTAGTCTACTGAATCACGCAACAGAGCGTTGCTGTGAGATTTCGATTGATTATAACGGCGCTGTGTCTGTTGCGTTACGTAGTCCCTTAGATATGGGATGTCAAGATCCCTGTGAATGATCTCATCTGACACGTACCAAGGAGCGTTGGTAATTGTGCGTAGGGTTCTATTTTGCAGGACTTTCAGTCTCTGCATGTGCATTTTGGCAAGAAAGCACCAGTCGCACATGCATAGGTGGTTGCGGGTTTTAAGACCATTTTATACAATCGAATCTTGTTGATCAAAGTTAATTTTAAATTTTTGAAGGATAATGCCGCCGAAACGTAATTGGAAATTTCGTTTTCAAAATATCAGTATGTTTCTGCCAGGTCCTTGACAATGATGACTCCAAAGTACCTGACAGATTGTTCCCATGGTAAAGGCAAACCCAATCCTTTAACTGAAAATAGGTGTGTATTTCTGCCATTGGCGTATGTAAGGGGGCGTTACAAAATCCTGATCACGTTCTAGGCAAATATGCAAAAATTTTTATATGAGCTATTACTTCGTCATGACAGCTCTAACTTAATGTAGCTGAGGCTTTCGTAACATAATGTGCAAGCGCCTGATCTGTGGGTTATTTACTTATCCCAAAATTTAGAAAACAGAAGGTAATTTGCATGTTTCATCTTTGTAAATTGGGTTGCTTTGGAACTGAAGGGTACGTACATTCGCTTTTTATAATTTAACGGTGACAAAGTATTTGTTAGGGCTTAAAGTATAGGGTTCTACGTCCAAAACATTAACTAACAGCCTGGACACTATATCAAAAAGGAACCTGTATGACAAATTTTGTACCTGAAACATTTTATTTTGCCTCTTAAGAGCAGAATAAGTCTTTGGAGATTTTCTTTGGGCGGTACACGTTTATCTTTTAGCAACCACCCTCCAATATTTTTTGAATCACGTCAAAAATACACTAATTTCTTTCCCGCTGCAAGGACAAAATGTTATGTACTTTCTTTGGAAAAGCAGATTATGCTGTTTCATTTAAGGGGTAAACAATGTTTTTAAGACCCACCGATTCGAGAGGCCTAGAAGGATCCATAAAGGTTGTATTGTTTTCACTCTACAAGTTGAAGATGTACGAGTATAAACTACGTAAATTCCCTCACTAGCGTGTAAAAGCTAGTTGCTGGTTTGTAGGGCAAAAGGACATTCCTTTCAATATGTGGCCCGCCACTCTGAAAGCTTGAACAAGAGCTTCTGAAAATAGAACTAACAATAAATGTTATATTCATCTCCCAAAAAACAGCGTTGAATTGGCAATTAAGTGCTAAAATATTTTTTTATTTTTTATGTTATGTTGCTCATTTACGATTTCGAAAACATCACAATCGCGAAATGCGGACATACCAACCCAATGATTTTTTTTGTCCTACACCTCTACCCTATTCTTGGTATGATATGATATCCATTACATCCAATACTCACTTAAAACAAAATTAATTACAGCGCTCTTAACCTTAGTTATGTACTGAAAGCTGGATCGATTAACCAAAACAAAAGCCGAAAGGACAATGCGTCATTCATTCCCATCCTTTTGATATTCCATTTTCTACAGCTGAACAAGGCTCATTTCCTCCTTTCAACGAACTAAAGCGATTAAGTCGAGCGTGGAATGATTTTCCCTTGGAGTAACTTCTGAGTCAAAAGGAGATGTGAAAAGAGGTACATGGGCGCAGTATTAAATATTTAGCCTTTATGTTTTCTTAAAAGAACCTACTATAATGTAATCAAATCCTGTTTAACCCCCCGTCAAAACAAGCATCAGCGTTCGATTGTCGCTTCTATTCGTTTGTCGCTGCCACGCCCAGGCATTTATGGACCGCTGGTTAATAAGAGCGAAATTGAAGGTCGCGCGCTGGTGTATTTGGCGGGTCGTAAGTGGTCTTTGAATACATTATAGTAAGCTATTCTATGCTTTTAAGTCCTTGGCTGCCAAGTTCTTATATCTGTAGAGAGAGCAGGAGGGCAGTCTTGGCGGTCTAGTTAAGATACAAGTACAAGGGTCTTGAGATTGCAGCTAAAACGCAAATAATTCAGGCCAGAAAGAAAGTTTGTTCTTTGTTCATGTCAAGCTTTCGAAATATGTTTATTTTCTTAATTAGAACGCACTACCCACCATGTCGTAATGCTGCTAGCATTACTGCACTGGGAGTTGTAGCGAACGACTGACGAGTTATAGTGAGTGTACCGCTTATTCTGGAGAATCTCACACTTCGGGCAAGAAAGGCCGACCGGGCAATACGGTCCTGAGAGTGGCTGTGAAAGCTTTCCCCTGTCCAAAAAGTCAAAAGTCACAGGTACACTTATGACTTAACTCGTTCACATCTCGGTGCATCGAGTTATGACTGGTAGACATTAGGGGGCGCTATTTCATGTTGAAATTTTCATGGAATAAAAAATGCATTTCGTAATTCCTCATTTTCCGAGCTGTTTTTATGTGTTATAAGCTTCAATTTTAGCTCGGAAACTGCTGGATTTTACAAAAAAGGTACGGTTCATGAGATATGATTTTATTTTGACAAAAAAATGGCACTGCTGATAAACAAGTTACCTTCCGGAATCAGTAATATTCATCTGATTATTTGCCGAAAACTGCATTAAAATCGGTCCAGAATGAAGCGAGACACCTTGGAACTACGTTTACGGTGAGATAGTAAGTGCTCTTGAGCCAGAGGTGGATCCAGGTGATGTCCTGAGGCCTCCGAAATATCCGGGTAAAAAAGTTCGAACGTGTTTTCAATTTCAATTGGCAGATGCCCCCCGCTCTTCAATTTTTAATCGCCGATACCCTCTCCTACCCCATGACAGACATCTTCCCGAACATAAATCCTGAGTTCCTCCTCAGCAGCAGTTTTTTCTGCGGGTAATTTCAAATTCATCATATTTATAGACCCTCCAAAAATATTTTCTAGATCCACCCCTGACTTGAGTAAATGCTTATTAAAAGAATGAATGCTGAATAGGGTATATTTGCTTTCCATCTCTGTGACCATAACCAACAGTAAGCAATGTTGTAGCATATTTTTTGGGAATCATCAGTACGATATAGGTCTAGTCATTGAAGACAGACAACGAAAAGCAAACAAGCGAAAATCAGTCTACAGAAAAACTCAGTATTGCAGTGAAGTGTAGTAGAAGATTTGATAAGGAATTGCCTTTGAAAAATTCAATATGTTATACGTTAACTGTTCACATTTCCATGACAAAAGTTTTTGAGTACGAAGGATCAACTTGAAGCCCCTATACCTCTTAAACAACTGGTGTATACATCAGTTCTGAGCCCATTTTTTTTACTTCCCACGCCTACTGGCGAGAAAGTAATGTAATCACAAAAAATTCAAGAATGAGATATGATATTTGGACCGTCTATCTGTCTGTCGGTCGGTCGATTTGTCTGTCCGCTAATCCTTGTCCCGTCTATAGCTTCGGATTTGGATGAAATTTTCACACAATGTTACTACTGTCCCAAAGACAAAAAAGCTTAACAGTTTTTGAAAATCGGTTCAGTGGCGAAAGAGCTACGGTTCAAAAAACGAAAGAAAAAAGTAGAAATCGCTCAAACTTGTTTTTTGACGTTTCAGAGAGGGGTCAGTGGTTGTAGGTAGTGGGGGCGGGTGTATCGCAATTTAGCGTCTGACGCATCGAGTAGAGAATGTCTATGGACCAATTGTAAGAGCCTGTTTGACTGACGTGGAATGTTTAATTTATCTGTAATACATGTTCGCAATTAACTTTTTTCTGAGAGGGTCTTTCTTGTGCTGAACATAATCATTTATGACATGATCACGGCGTTACGTGGGAAGTGCAGGGACAACCTACTTGACTCCATTTTTATACTTACAACAACTTTTTGAGTTGACAGCGTCCGTAAGATGTATCTCGTATTTTCTTTTGAACGCATAATAAAATTGAAAAATTTTCCCAACTAGGGTATGATTATAATCATCTAATTTTCCATTCCTGTAGGCCTATACAGTGCTAAAAAACTCCAAGAATTTGACGCTTGCAAAAAATTCCAATCTATACTATACGACATAATCATTATCCTAGAGCTATAGGGGGCATTCTTTATACTCATCTGATTTCGCTTGATCCGTGACTTCAAAAAATTCATCGAGTTGAAGTTTCCCTGGCACATGACGAACAGAACGGAAAGCATATTATATTAACGTCATTATTTTATAGCACGGATCTGAGAGTCTGACTGGTAGCATCGACGAGTTGGTATTGATTTTGAGAAATAAGTACTCATGTAATGGCAAAATAATAATAATAATTTGATATTACATCTAATGTGGCATTCACTTATTGGAACAACTTGAACGCTAACATGGTATGATATGCTATCATTCAGTGCCAACGTTTTCCAGCCCCGGACAATGCATGCATGCAATGAGACATAGCATTTATGTTGAAATATGAACTATTATTGTGTGGAACTTTGAAATAAATATTTTTTTTATGATAAATACAGAAAAAAAATCATGTATTCCTATGGTAAATATTACTAGTGTATTATACTTTTTTCTAACCCGTCGTGCAAACAAGTTAGAGAGAAGATGCGGCCGCAGCGACAAGTGTCTGGCTGTGCTTAATATTACATTGTAATAATGTTTTACAATGAGTATATAAAATTAGCCTTTAGAATTTGTAAAGCTAGTCTTTTACTAAACCACTATCCAACTTAGCAGGTACGCAAACGTACATACAAATGCCCTACGTTTTGTCTTTTAGAAAATATGTAATGGTTGGCAGTTCTAGGATCTAACTCTACCACCAAGATATCTAATATCCTTTTTTTTATTTAACAGATCGCAAGTCCAGCATGTACAGAATTGGAAGTGGTGATGATGGACTGGCTTGGCCAGATGTTGGGCCTTCCGGACGAGTTCTTGGCAAAATCTGGAGGCCGAGGAGGCGGTGTGATACAAGGCACAGCTAGTGAAGCCACGTTGGTAGCACTGCTTGGAGCCAAGGCGAAAGCTTTGGCCAGGGTTAAGAAGGAGAAGCCCCATATGTCGGATGCTGAGATTGTTGGAAACTTGGTTGCATATGCTTCAGGTAGGGAAGTTAATGCTATTGAATTTGCTTGTGAGACTCGCTTTCTTGAAAAAAGTTTTCATGAAACCAAAGCAATCCTATGTTTCTGAGAAATAGGAGAATAAAGTTTGCAAGATTTGCAAAAATTGAGAATGTGCCGATTGTAGCACACAGACCAAAAACTCGGAGAATCCGTTTATTGAAAGAAGTATTTCACCTTGTATGAAGGGAGGCGACATGTTACTGCTGACCCTGATCCTTACAGGGTAAGTTTAAGGGAAAGTTCTGGCACCAGTTGTTCGGGAATTCAGATACCTCAATAGAATAGTTCGCTTCTCACAGGGCACAGAAACATCGTGGGTGTATCCTTGTCTCAGATAGCCACCCGCAGGGATATTACGTACCAATCTTGAAAAGTAACATTATGTCGGTTTTTTTGACATTATATAGGTTTTTGTGACATTATGTAGATTTTCCTGTCAGAAAGGACAACACATAAATAACCCGTCTGACACATCTAATAGATGTACTTCATGGGCAGCATATTCAGTAATAATTTTCTAACATAGGAAATATCACTGATTTTATACACATGCAGATCAATACACACAATCATTCAAACGCGATCTTGCTACTCAACCAATTTTCTTTCTTTGGCATACACCATAGACTATCTCGGGATTCTGCAACCAACAAAGCGCGCTGGCATGTCGTTGAGAGTAGTTCACAAGTCATTCCTCCATAGGTGATGCTATGGGTGATGCTCACAGCAAGTTGATATTTTGTCAGCTTTTTTTGACATCATATAGGTTTTTTACGTAATATCCCTGCCGGTGAAAAAGGTGAATCGGTTGTGAAAAATACTCACAATATAACCCCAGAGCAGTCAACACGACCTGTCAGCTCGCGGATCTGCCAATCGATCGCGCGTTCGACCAAAGAAACGATACTTACCTGTTATCATAGACATTTAGTATATGCACCGACATACAAACGTTTACCTGTTTCATATCATCATAGTTGTATCCAGTCCAGGATCGATAAACGTTTTTCAAGAGATTTGAATGTTAGTTGCATTTGCATTTTTTATGAGTCCACCTACTAAGGATCATGGACAATATCCACATGACACCTCCCAACACGTTCCTACAATATAATATTTCTTTCAGAATAACAATTTTCCGAGTATTTGGTCTGAGAACCAAAATCGGCATTTTTTTCAAGTCACGTAAACTTTATCTACCTTTTTCTCAAAAGCTGATCATAAGATTGCCATGATACAATGAGACCTTTAGTTCAGGAAGGTGAGAAATAGATCATAATCAATTTTTGGACATATCGACTGAGACCCATTTTCCATATGTTTTGTGCGAGGTCCTTTATTATTATTTAAGGGCTAAGCTCCCATCAATGTCCTACACTCGAAAAGTGGCGCCCAAGTGGCACCATTGAAGGAACCTCGCTGCAGATGATCTCAAATCCCACAGGGTGAATTTCAGGGTTTTTGCTCATTTTGTCTAAACGTAAAGTACTGATGAGATACATTGTTAGATTATAAATGCTACATACGCTTCCAGCACAAAGTCATTCATCTGTGGAACGAGCAGGACTATTGGGTGGAGTAAGAATGAGAGCACTAGAATCTGACGAGAACAACAAACTTCGTGGTGAAACCTTAGAGAAAGCAATTAAAGAAGATTTGGAGGCTGGATTGATTCCTTTTTTTGTAAGTAACCATTTGATGTGTATAACCCATGGTACTTGAAATGCACGTCACTATCTCCCAATACCTGAAGGGTTAATATTTCCACTAATTTAAGAATATTGGATTAAAATATCGTTATTTTAGTTTCTTCGTATCACCTTGACCATACTATTTAGTAGTGTAAAATATATCTATCGTGGTATACTTTTACACTAGAACACCTTGAACCAAAAGTGTAAACAGATATTTTTTCTCAACTATGTTTGTGTAAATTCTTTGCGCATTGTACAAATATAACAGTATGGATACTTGGTCATTTACCCTTGGTATTTCTTTCGTTATTTATGAATCAAACACACGTTTAAATCCGTATAAGCATTACTGTCTGAGATAGTTTGCTCTTTATCACAGTTTCTAGAACACATAATTGAATGACTTATATTGGCCAGAAATAACGAAGAGAGTTGATTGTATGGTGTGCATATAGTTCTTTTCACAGTCTTTGGCAGTTACATCACAAAGCCCTACGAAATGAGTTAGCGAGTCAACTAACAGTACCATTGAAGTGAGACATCACGAAGTGCCATCTATCACCACAATCAAACACTGCGAAAGTAAAAACTGCAAGCTGTCTGTTGGAAATGTATCTGAGTTAGCATTGTCAGCCAGGTCACTAATGTGGCCGCTAGATGCCGTCGATTCTGGTACTATAGTAGATACGGTCGACTCAATAGTAGCACATAGAGGTGGATTGCATATGTATGTGTACGAAAGATGGATGTATGAATGTGTCAAAATTTTATGAAAATCCGAGCTGCTGCTAGTGCTTTCCGAATAAAAGCAGAGGGAGCAAAGATTACCGGACAAACAGAAGAAATCATATAGAAACATGTGACTTAGGCCCGTATCGTCAGTCGTCCCTACAATTGTAGGGCGCCTTTATGGCCTCCTTGATGGTCATAGTTTTATACTTCTCCGTGTCAGAACTCTATTTTGAGGTTATGTCACAAACATCTATTTGCATCAAATTTTGCTTGGTTTTGAGTTATATCATGTTTTATCAGCCTGAAATTTCCTACAATTTAAAAAGAAAACATATCTTCACAATAGGAGAGCGCTGACGCTGACAAGAGACGCCACCAATTTTGCTCGGGAGGGGTATGATCATCGGCAACAGACAACTTTTTGTAAACGTATACCTAACCCTGGAACAATTTGCAAAGCAAAAGTGTATCTGCCAGGGCATCTGCCTCCAAATTTTTATGGAGAACAATAGGTAGCAACGATTCCCCTAAACATCCCTAAATGTAAATTTTAAGGTCCAACCAGATTATCAGGGAGGTCATGGCACCCCCTAGCACTCCTCTGCGGCAGCCCATTATAGCTGCCTCCATAATCTGGAAATGTATCTAAAAAATTCAAACTTTTTTTTCCACGCTTGATTTTCAAGTTTCTGGTCACCTTTTTCGCGTAGTGAAAACAATTTTTAGGATAAAAACCAGTCGTATCTAATATTTAACTTGCTAATAAGTGATTCATATAATTTGTACTGAGTCAACAGGCCGTACTCTGTTTTTTAAAATTCAAAAATGATCATATTTTTCAGGCTGTGAATACCTTAGGGACAACTTCATCATGTGCATTCGATCGACTTGATGAACTGGGACCAGTTTGTAACGAGTACAATTTGTGGCTTCATATTGATGCTGCTTATGCTGGATCTGCCTTTGTTTGTCCCGAATACAGGTAAGAAATAGTATATTACATACCTAGATTGAGAAGGAAGCTATTATAAACCGGTTTAAAACGATTCGAAGGGAAATACATACATGTATATTCACCGGATTCAGAGCCGAAACTAGAGGGGCGCTGGTGGAGGCGGGGGTCTCTCTAGAAGTGCAAACCTACCAGTTTTTTTCAAGAAAATAGTATGAAAATTACCGTGCTAAACCTGAATCGAGAGGCGTATAACCCGCTAACAGGCAGTTCAATTATTCAACCCTGTATTAAACCATAGTCATTCCTGAATCCAACCCACTGCTCTCCAAAACTCTGGTGTCAGTGTTACCTGCATAACGCGACGTTGTCGAAATAGTGATAAGGACATAGACAATATAGACCCTGATCCTTGTAACAGGAATTTACTTTTGCAGATATCTGATGGCAGGCATCGAGAAAGCAGATTCGTTCAACTTCAACCCCCACAAATGGTTGCTGGTGAACTTTGACTGTTCAGCAATGTGGCTGAAGGACCCGTCATGGCTGGTCAATGCGTTCAATGTGGATCCGCTCTATTTGAAACACGAGCAACAAGGCTCTGCCCCTGACTACCGACACTGGCAAATTCCCCTCGGCAGGAGATTCAGAGCTCTGAAGTTGTGGTTCGTCCTGAGATTGTACGGGGTTGAGAACCTCCAGGCTCATATCAGGAAGCAGATTGGGCTTGCTCACTATTACGAGTCCTTAGTCAGGTAAGTACGAGGGCCACTTTTAAAGTGAGAACCGATTGCGCATCGTGCCTACGCGTTCCGGCACGTGACGTCCACGCAACCTCAGTCCAGGCCAGTCTCTCACTACGCCGCCATTACGTTTCACTTCTCTATCGATGTTGGTTGTTTAGTTATGCTTCTTTGTCGCCATTTCTAGCAGCAAACCCGCCGATTGTGAAATGAACTCAGTAATTCGGAACAGTCTCTGCGATTATGCAAGGCGCTTTGCGCGCTGTGGAATCATGGAGTAGGGAAATGGATCTTTCGGTCAACGCTGGAAAGACCGAGCTGATCCTATTCACTAGGAGAAGAAGGCTTGACGGGCTTGTCTTCACGACCTTCTTTGGGACTAGATTAGTTCTATCCCAGTCAGTAAAATATCTAGGAATTATCCTGGACTGTAAACTGAACTGGAGAGAGCACGTTGAATTTAAGGTTAACAAGGCCCGCAATTCATTGTGGGCTTGTAGACGCGTTGTTGGTGCTAGGTGGGATCTCAAACACAACGTGGTTTACTGGCTCTACACGACAATAGTGCGTCCATCTCTCTTGTACGACTCCTTGGTTTGGTTGCCTTGTATAGGAACTGAGACGAGTAAGGCCAAATTCAATAAAATTCAGCGATTGGCCTATATTAGCATTACAAGCGCAGTAGGACAACGCTGCTCCGCTGGATCTCCCGCGGTTGGATCTAGTGATCCGCGGAGAGGCGAGAGTAGTCGCACATCGTCTGTGGAGTCAGTGCCGCTGGGCCTTCTTGAATCCCGTCAAGGGTCATACTGCCATCCTGGTCGTACTGCAAAGGGAGGATCCTGTCCTTCTGAGCACGGACGATGTAGTTACCCCTAAGTATCGCTTCAACCGCATGTTTAATGTGGAGTATCCAACGAGGGAGGAGTGAGACACCGGCTACCGGAGTCTCACTGGAGTAAGTGGGCAAGTCTGGTATACGGACGGCTCGGTCACCGAAAAGGGCTCTGGCGCCGGGGTCTCGAGGCCTAGGACTAGGCTATCTCTGCCTCTTGGTGGATACTCCACGATTTTCCAAGCGGAAATCGTTGAGATTCTGGCTTGTGTATCCCTCATTTTGGAGAGGGGTGGGCGTAGGAGAAAAATAATAATCTTCTCCGACAGCCAGGCTGTATCGTTAATGTGCGTACCGGGGCATGCTGGGATAAAGGGCAATGAGACGGCGGACGCTCTGGCGAAGACAGGATCAGCCAACAAGCTCGTTGGTCCTGAGCCAGCTTTAGGGATGCCCGCGCTGAGAGTTAGGAGGAAAACGGAGAAGTGGATTGCAAGGCAACACTCTCAGAAATGGAGAAGCATCTCCAGACATCTACGTCACGCACGGGATCTCATTGCAGGGCCCAACGCTAAGGACGGGCGTTTCTGCTTATCTTTGGACAGAGCCAACCTAAGGTTGCTGGTGGGACTGTTGTCTGGCCATAACACATTAAGGCATCACCTGCACGTGATGGGGGTGGCTGAGGATCCCTTGTGTGAGTGATGCGAGGCTCTTAGCTACTACAGGTAGACTATACTGCGGTCCATCACTTTGGACTCAAGGACATTAAGGAGTTTGGGCTCAAGGCCATACTCAGCTTCGCTAGAATGGCGAGGCTTAAGGTCTAACAAATGTGGAGGTGCACAAGGGCCCGTCTGAGTGGCCTATGCGCTGGCTCCTTATGGTGGCCGGTATACCTCTAATTTCGTGTTTTCATTCATTCATTCATTCAATTCGATTTTCAGATGCAACAAAATTCACCAGTAGCTTGTTGAATTAGGTACGCTATTCGAAACCGCCGGCAGAGCCTGCTCGGCTTCACGTTGCGGCAAAGTCTCGGATGCCACTCGACAAATTTCGTTGCGAATTACCGGATCATCCACCATACAGCCCTAACAGCACTATCAGACATTCATCGTTTACCGAAACTTAAGGAATTCCTCATTGGAAACCGCTTAGAAAAAGATGACGTGTTGAAAGAAACAGTTACTAACTGATTTAACGGTCATCAGTAGGCGACAGCGTTTGTCGACGGAATCCAAAAGCTGGCCTTGACGAATGTTTAAGTGTTTATGGTGACTTATGAAAAATGTTCATATTTTAGTTTGTGATACAATTTACATTCATTAATCTCTGACTACATTACAACACACGGTTCTTACTAAAAAATGATCCTCTTAACAGCATTGACTAACGCATTCTACCTGAAGATAGCCAACCAAATATTGTTTTCAGCCATCCAAAAAGGGATCTGACAGATATCATCTATGGGACATTGGCAGAACATAAAAACAAATTTAGAAGTCTGCTTTGAGAAGAGTTGGGATGTTTGGTTCTGCTACTGTCCACTAGATGGCGCTGGATCTTCAATATTTGGCACCTCTCTAATGCTTATTTTAATTTGGTATCTTCAGGTATGCAATGTACTAGTGAGATCGGATTTTTCATTTCGGACAATTTATATGTGTGTTCTAATGTTTTATTGTCAATTGCAGGACCGACGACAGATTCGAGATCACCGAAGAAGTCCTGATGGGCTTGGTATGCTTCAGACTAAAAGGAACCAACGAACTAAACGAGGCTTACATCAAAAGAATCAATGGAAGAGGACTAATACACTTAGTACCGTCCAAGATTAGAGACACCTTCTTCCTTAGATTGGCTATTTGCTCCAGATTCACTGAGAAAGCTGATATTGATGTATCTTGGAAGGAGATCAAGGATACTGCTGACGAAATATTGAACAACAATCACTGCAACAACCATAATCATGTTAACCACAAATAAGGGAGGTTACCTATTATGAGCTAAGGATATTGTATTATAATGGATTATTTATTCAAGTTTAGCTAAAAAGATCACTGCGTGTTGTTATAGATATGACAATAAAATACAGTAAGTTATGAGATCATAAGGATTCTATAGAATTATTAAATATACAGGGTGTAAACGTTATGATAGTCATTATTTAAATGGGTGATAGAGGGGGTTAAAAGAAGCAAAAAGTTTCATATAACATGGGGGTCAAAACGGCGTTTTTTTTAGAGAAAAACGACTTTAAAGTAATATAAAATCTGACGCCGTAATGCCAGACGCAAATTACGACGGAACGCAGTATAAATAAAGATGGAGTTTGTTATTTTTGGCTCTTAGCTATTATTTCATTATTTGATAATGTACTCGTAAAATGCAAACAATTAAAAAAACGGACTTACCACTAACTGTCTCAGCGCTTCACATGGTGTGTGAAAGTTTATTGAACGTATTAAACAATCCACTTATAAATAGGGAACACAATTATGATACCTACACTGCACTTTTTTGTATTTAAAGAAGGTGTTCAAAATGTCGTCCTCCACTTTCCACACAAGCTTCATTACGATGAACCCAGTTTGTTCTTACTCTGGGTCTTCGAAGTTGTCCATTTATTATTTAAGCCGCATTAAATTTTTTTTCGCGTTGTGCTTCAGTTGTTATTGGACCAGCCCCATAAACCATCTCTTTAAGTTCTCCCCAATACCAGAAATCCATCGGATTAGGATCAGGAGATCTTGCTGGCCTTTTTTTTGGAGCTGGAGCATTTCGACTGATCTAGCGATTTGGATAATATTCATTCAAATACTGAATGACGCCTCTAAAAGTGTGTGGTGGTGCCCCGTCATGAAGAAACCACAAATTCTATCTCCGTTGTAATGGCATGTTGTCTAAGGTCTGTTCCAGGAGTTCTGGTAGATTATTGGCTAGAAAGCTAAGGTATCCTTCTCCTGACAACTTTGGGGGTAACTCGAAAGGGCCAATCACCTGATCGTCAGAATACCCACCCAAATATTTATTTTAAAACGTTGTTGGAAATGACCTTCACGAATGATATGAGGATTTTCTTGGGCCCACGTGTGGGTATTATGGAAATTTAATATCCCGTCTTGCGTAAAAGTACATTCGTCCGTCGGTAGAATGTTTAAAAAAAACGGATTTTCAATGTTTTTGTGCAGAAACCACTGACAGAATGTTAGTCTGCGAGGATAGTCTTCTGGTAACAAGGCCTGCACTCGTTGTACATGGCAGGGATAAAGCAAATTTTCCCGCAGGATTCTATGGATATGCGATAGTCCTACGCGGCGGCCTAATTCCCGAGTGCTGATATCTGCATTGATTTCCACGATATTTAAAATTTATTCCTCCTGCTCTACAGTAACCTGTCTTTCAGGAGTACGAATATTAGTGAGCTGAACACTTCCTGTATCTTGAAGTCTTTGGTACACTTGAACAAATGTCCTTCTGTCTGGGTGTACCCGTTGGCGAAATCTGTCGCGATACATTTGAGCTGCAAGATTTGAATTCTGACGAGCTTCACCGTAGACTAACAACATGTCGGCGAGTGCTTGATTCGAGAACATTTTAAATAAACACGACGACGTACGCGAACAATAACTAACCACTGTTACCGTTTGCGATCGATTGCCGGTTCGATAAGAGTGATGCATGACCGACGCGCTGTTGTCATGTTTTAAATATTTAATTTAATTAAACTTACTTACTGACTACAAATTTTGGCTTAGCTTAGAAAAACTTAATGCCATTTATTTGTTAATTACCCAATTTAAAAATGTTTTAGATTAGATTATAAAAATTAGTAAGATTGTGGTGATTGTGGTCGATATAAGTTGTAAACTATAAAGCCATTTAGACAAAAATCTTTCGACTTTCGGACCATGGATCATATGAACTTTTTGACTTGTTTTGACCCCTCCTATTACCCATTTCAATAATGACTACCATAACGTTTATGTATAGCTTGTAAATTAGAGGTAATCAACGAAAGTTATCCAATACCTTTTAATCATAAAAGGTATTGTCTGAGTTACCTCTTACAGCTAAAGTTAAGTACTACTTGCTTCCCATCAAACAATACAAAATTTCTCTACGCTCTATGCTTTTAAAATTAAATAAATTTTCATGGTATTATAAAGCAATCTTTAGAAGGATGATTTAGTGTCATATGATGTATGTTTTGACTTTGTTATTATTTAATCTCAGGTGTTTAAAAGTTACTTCAAACAAACGATTGATATGTGCTATGGAAAATACTTAAAATGTAAATATATAGAATATTATTGAGGAATGGACCAATATTGATAACGCAATACAATGAAATGTACTCCATAAAAGATAAATATATTCTGTATGAAGTATATTCCTATTTGTTTTTATCCCCTCTGTCTTCCTTTATCCTTCATTAAAACCGTCGCCGGCCTCATGTAGACAAGCGCTTAGATAGCCACAAAGCATCATAGTTGTTCTGTGTCCGTTTACACCGTGTGCCACAAAATATACTCAGTGACATTAGAAGTGTTACCTCCAGAAAAAATAATTTCTTCAACTTGATTCTTTGGCAAAGAGGTAGTCTTAGATCAAGAATGACACGATAACATTTTCATGAAATTTCATTGACAATAAGAAAAGAGATTAATAATGTGTTGGGCGACCCCGCAGCTGAATACGACGAGCAATATAGGGATGTGCGTTGTCTTGTTGAAAAAGGACGTGTGGACGACCTTCTAGATACGGCAGTAATGTGGCTTGTGGGACATCAACATAACGCACAGCAGTCACACTGCCTTGAACGAAGAGCAGGGGTGATTGGTTACTATAGGCAATAGCCCCCCAAACCATTACTCAAACAGTCCTGTGTACATGCTTCTCAACAGCTAATCCAATATCACGCCGTTCTCCACGGCGGCATCTTACCCTTCCACGACCATCGCGCGTAGCTAGGCAGAATCGCGATTCGCCGGTGACGATGACACTATGCCATTCTGCCTCCCAGTTTTAACATTGTCGACAGTGGTCCGCAGTCAGAGGAAGCACTGACTGTGGACAGTATGAAAAAAGATCCAAAGGCTTGAATGCGGCGATAGAGTGTACGCATAGTACCAGGTCTACCTTCTTCTCCAAACCATTGGTCAGCGATCTGACGCGTAGTAGCAAAACGGTCTCCTAGGACTAGTTGTCTGAAGTACCTATCTTGACGCTCTGTGGTACGCCACGGTGGACCAGTTGGCCTTCTTCGTGTTCCTCTACCTTCTTCTATCCACACACAACACACGCATTACCGTCATTGCAGTACAATCAACACGGCGGCCAATTTCGCAATAGGACAAATCAACATCTCGATAGGCAATGATTCTACATCTGTCAAAGTCGCTAGCATGGTGATAATTTGGACGCCTTCGATCTCAAGGCATTTTGTTATGTTTAACACTAGTAAATGAAAGATAAAACGTTGACATTGTTGCCACAGCATGATTTAAATATAGTCATTATGTTGTCAAAAATAAGGTGAAGGAATTATTTTTTCTGTGTGTAACACTTCCAATGTCACTGAGTTTAATGAATATACCCGCACGTGTTTCACGTGTCTTGAAAATTGACATTATGCCGATTTTTTTTTACCTTATGCTGGTTTTTTTGACATTATGTAGATTTTTCTACAAGATATTAACTTAGCACTTAGTTGTAGGTGTTGCCTAAACGGCATGAGGCTTGTTATCAATCTTTGGCTCTGATGTGATATAAAGTCTGGTTCTGAGATGGCATTACTGGAGGTCTAAGCTGTAAGTTGTATGTGTTGATGATAATTACATTGGGTTCTTGTCTCAAATACACTTAATTGAGATTCAAAGCTAGAAATTAGTTGCGCATCCACTTTTTCTTATCCATTCTCGAAATTACATATTCAAATTTGCTGAATTTCAAAAATAAGAGAGATAATTCATAATTATATTCACTGTACACTGTCGTATTACAGGCCATATACATGCTAACAGTAATTACACAGAACGCGGGCGCGGTCATCATTTCTCGTAATTCACCTCAGTTTTTCGTAATTGGTAACTTTGAACCTAACCTCTCTCCAGAAAGCACAACATAAAAATAACCCGTCGGGCACAGCCAATAGATATACTTCATTGGCAGCATATTCAGTAATGATTTCCTCACACAGCAAATATCACTGATTTTATACACATGCAGACCAATACACATAATCATCCAGATGCGATCTTGCTATTCAACCAACTTTCTTCTCAGAGATAAAAACTACAGACAATGACCATTTGGCCTCACAAAACTATGCAACCAATAATGCATGTAGCTTAGTTGAGTGATTCCCCCATAGATGGGCAACGATCCTAGTGAGCAAACGTGGAATGACTGCTTGCGCCCTAAAAAACTACCTAGTCGGCAAGTTGACATCTTATAGGTTTTTTTTTGACGTTTTGCAGGCTTTTTACATGATACCCGTGCCGGACCGATGCGCCTTATGTAGGCTACCCTAGAGATAGGAAGTTAAACTGCCTAAACGATACAAACATGTATTCGTATGCAGACAATCCTGTCGCCAAGGGTGGTGTGACTTTGTGAAGTCGGGTGGGCCTAGTACATGGCACAGAGCGTCTGCGCCTTGACAAATATCATCATAACCTGCTGCAATATTCATGTGCATTTCCCTCACGTTTTGCTATGTTTTGTAGGTTTATTACTTCGTGATTTATTAATATTATCCAATATTTCTGGAGTTGTTTACAGTCATAATGACAGCAACATGGAGAGATGCCACATTCTCAGAACTAAATTCAGTTGCTGCACAGCGTACCAACTCACTTCATCTTCTACACATTTTGGCTTCACCGCCACTTCACAGGGCTAACCTCCTATCTATAGTCTTCATGAGGCTACCCTACGGTGTAAGCATGGGCATGGTGTTACATGACTTTGCTGTTTACGGTTTCAGCGTTAAGCCGCGCCCCATTTCCGTCTCACAAACTAGTCAAATAAAACAACGGCGAAAAAGGCAGACGTTCAAAGTATTATGCTATCTCGCACTTTACTTGCAAAACGAACGCAACATAATTCTCTTTATAGTCACGTGACAATTTGAGCGCCATGACCTGTCTTCTCGGCGGCTTCAGTCCAAGACCGACATTTGACAGTTGAACGTCAGGTCAGGTTATGTCAGTTATGTCATTTCAGGTTTTGTTTACATATGACAGTGACATAACGTTAAAAAATAAACCGAAGGCTATCCGGTGACTGCTTGAACTTTAAAATATGTGAAATTGATTATTTATAGATCTAGGTTGTTTATTGCAATTTGTGACAACACCAGCAGTCTAGATAACGCACGCGTAAGAATGGAAAAGGCTAAGGAGAAGGCTTCCAATGCCTTCCATAGTTTTTCAAGTGCAATGGAAAGAAATTCCAGAGGTGTAGAGGTATGTTTTTAATTATTCTTGACATGGTTTAAAATATAGAAAATTCATATTTTTTTAATTTACAGATTGGTTGTTATTCTGTTGCACTTATTGGCCTTACAGTTGCATTAAGGAAGGTTAGACCAGTAAGTACAATATAGGTATCTAGGACTTTTAAAAGTAATTTATATTGGAAAATTAAAATATTCAAGTATTTTAGATACAAAATACTAAAGAATATTCCATTCTTGAATCAAAGAGGGACTTTTTATACAAAGGCATTTAGTGAGAATCTGTATTTCCATTGTTACCTCCCATTCTAAAATTTTCTACCTCTTCTAGGCTTAAAATGCCACAAATTTGCAGTGTTGCAATTATTGTTGAATAGTTCAGATAAGACTGTGGACACCCATACATATACAGTACTAACTGCAGACCACACGTACAGGTTAAGAAACACATCTCAAGAGCAATATAAAAACTGTACTTCAAGAGTACTTATATCTAGAGCTTTAGATTTTAATTTAAATTAACCACAGGTTATCCAAAATACTGACTATATTCAGGGTTTATATTATACAATTTTTAAAATCTTTGCAACATATACATTCCATGTATAACACCCTATACCTAAGCATTTTTGAGAAATATCAAATTTTGTGTACAAAATCACAAATGCCATTCTATATAAGTCTATAATTTTTCATCTATTTTTGTCCTTGTAGAACAGTTTGTAACTAGTCTCTTATAGAAAGGCATCTACTTTAGTAGACTTCATTCGTAATTTTACTAATCAATAATACAGGGTGGTCAAAAAAACGGATGAAGAATATTTGAAAAAATGCTAATATTCAATTTTTTCAAATGACAACCCCCTGTTTTTATAATCCCATCATCTTAAGCAATAAAAATGACAGTTGTGTATAAGGTTATCTACTTTGCAAATTAGTAGTTTAGGAATCATTTGCAAATAGTCACTTTCTATCCCCAGTTCTTTTATTATTGGAGTTGTATGTTATTTTAAAAATTATGTATATATTTTTTCTTAGAAAGACTCCCCACAAATAATAAATAAAAAAAATAATGTCCATGTTTGTTATTTGATTACAGCATGTGAGTCAATTTATAAAGGTGCAATTAGTAATGTATTCAGCACTGCAGCTATTATTATATCTAATATGTGGTTGAAAGTTAATTGTGTTATAGCTCTTTCGATAGAGCACCAACGTGGCAGTCAATGTCGCGCCGACGATTGAGGTTCGAGACCATGAAATGGTACTGTATTTTTTCTTTTTTTTTTTCTGTTTTGCAACACATGCATTACATATGAAAAAATCATACCTCATGACTCATTTTTAATAATTCACCGGGCTTTGGCCAACCATACTGAACTGGCCATGGAAAGATGGAAAACGAGTATTTACAAATATTCGCTAAACTACTAATTCGCAAAGTAGATAACCTTATACAAAACTATTTTTATTGGCTTAAATGATGGGATTTTAAGAACAGGTGTTTCCATTTGGCATTTTGTACAATTTAATTTTCATCCAATTTTTTTGGCCATCTTGTATTATTAATTATCAAACATTGAATGATGTCTACTGAAGTAGACCCCCTTGCATTTGTGAGTTAGGTATTGGAGGTTATTCCAGGTGTGTATCTAGAATCTTGCGAAGATTTTAAATATTGAGGAATAGACAAGGTGTTGCATGCAAAATAAGCAACTTGTTATAACTTTGGGTACAACCAAAAGTGCCATCATTTTGAAAATATTCTAGCCAAATTCCTGGTATCAGTTATACCATAAGATGACTTGGTTTCATGGATGCTATACTGCTGTGGGCTTGTTGTGAAAATGACGCCTTTTCTTCTTTCACTACTGTTAAAAACTATAGAAATACACTATGAAAAACCCGATTCTAATATTGCCAGTTAGTTCATTTTTGCATAGTCTTGTTTTCATAATTATAATAAGCAATAAATGCTGGAATTCATTCAAGTTTTTTATGACCATGGCCATGTATTTTGCAAAATATAATTCAAACAAATTGTTGTGATGTAATAAAATAGTACGTAATGTGTTGGCAGGATGCTCTATTGTAAACAAGTAGGTATACTCTGAATCTTATCTGTTTCAAAATTATATCATGTTCATGTACAAAGTATATGCAAAATACTTTGTTCTAGTATATGGAGGGAGTTGTTGTGAGTAGTACTAGGTTTATTATTTGAGAATATGTAACAAAGGAATCTGTCAAGAAAGCAACACCTTACATCCTCTTATTATAAGGCATTCAAGTAATAAAATTCAGGTAATAAAATAATCATTGTACATAAGATTTTTTGACACCTATAGGTGGAAAGTTATTGAATTTTAGGATGTGACAAGTGATAATGTTAATTATAAGCAAAATCCACACGCATATCATATTTTGTTCTGTTTATAAATTATGTGGTTATTGCCTCATAAAATTGAGTACATTTGATCCAAAATCTGTGTATATGCTGATCAAGCTCAATGAGGGCATAGAAAGTGTGTTTTGAGATTCACAATGTTTAACGATTTTGTGACCTCAAATTCCGCTCTACAATTTATGATTTTTTTGATAGTCATACTTGATTTTAGTGTTTTTACCAATATGTACCGAGTTTCATTTAAATGAAATAATGGAGACATATGGGGGTCCCAGGCCCCATTTTCAACTTCCAACTGCATGGGCCTCACAACACAACACAATGCTTTGACAGTCATCTTCTACTTCAAATTCAGCTCCCCAAATTACCTAGGTGTATGAAGTTTAATTTGCCCTATGCTCCGGTTTTTCAGTCGCGGGTTAACTACTACCTTCGTCTTAACTTATATTTATCCATGAAAAAGCCTTTTTCATTATCATGTTTATAATAAACCGGTAGTTAAGTTTAACCAACAGACCATCTATGAGTTAAGTAGAAAAGGCTGTATTTAAATAGTAATATCTGACGTTTGTTGACACAGACTTTGGCATTTATTCAATAATTCACTAATTCATATCAATTAATCGATATATATATATATATATATATATATATATATATATATATATATATAAATTAAAGCTGAAACGAGTTCATGGATTACGACATGAATGCGCATAGCAGAGAGAAGAGGCAAGGAGGCCAAAAATAATCCGCCATCGGCCGATTTACTTTGACGAATGACTTTGTAAGATTTCGTCGTACAAAAAGGACTGTTGAAACAGAACTTTTCTATTTCTAGGAAACTGTGCAACTTTTTTGGTATCTTTTATGCTTTTGTTTTTACTGATCAATTATACTAAACATCATTTCCTCATTCAATTTAGCACCAGGAATATCCATATTTTTTCTCCGCTGCTGAAGATGTTTATTCTTGGTCGTGGATTATTATAGTGATGCTAAAAAAGGTCGCAAACAATATTTAACAGATATTTATCAACAATTGAGGCGTGTTTTACAAAAACAACATATGTCCAACATACAAAATTTTCAGGAAACCTAATAATTTTCTTGCATACTTTTTTGTTGATTACTATTAATAATAGTTCAAAAAATATGCTCTTCACTAAAAAAAACGTTGTTTTTGTAAGCAAAGTTCGAAAAATATTACCTTTATTTCAAAAAAGAACAAAATGATTATATAAAAACGGATTAAATTTCCAGCAAAAAGCACACGTGGCCTATCGTGTCGCGGACTTGTGCGGTATTTGGATGAACAGCAAGGGACATAAATATGTGCTTTTTGCAGAAACCTCGAAGTTTTGACTACTTAAATCTTAGCATTTATGTCGTTTTTGCAGAATCTTTTTTGGTGGTCTTAAAAACATCCTTCCTTTGTACTAGATGGTGTCAGTAACTCAATTTCGTTAAATTTGGACTTTTTGTAAAACACGCCTCAATTGTATTTTTTGCGTATTTTTTACCTATGTATGTAAGGTTGATTCCCACCTTTTTTACCACGATTTATACATATAATCCCATCCCGTCTATAGGGTTTGTGACTAAACATTTGTACAAGCATTGTTTGAAAAACCTTACCTTGCTTGACGAAGGTTTTATTCAAATTTCGACTATTATATAAAAATCTATTTATTAAAAAAGATTAGCTGTCCTGTATGACACGTATAGCGGTATGAGGATATGACACAAAATTTAAACGCGGAGCGCACGAAATGCATAGAATACGATTTCTGAGAACCGTAGATAAATATATCACGAATTTCTGACAAGTTAACTGGCGCTGTCACAATACTTGGAAAAAAAATTGCAGGCAACTACAAGTTAACTTCCTGGTTATAGTTAACTTACCAGATAGTTAACTTGTTAACCGACACGGGTATTATGTAAAAACCTATAAAAAGGGCAAAATAACCAAGATGTCATCTTGCATACTGGGTAGTTTTTAGGGTGCAAACAGTCATTCCACGTTTACTCACTAAGATCGTTGTGAACGTCCATCTATGGAGGAATCACTCAACTAAACTACACGCATTGTTGGTTGCATATGTTTTGTGAGGCCGAGTGGTCTGTGTCTAGTTTTTATCTCTGAGAAGAAAGTTGGTTGAATAGCAAGATCGCATTTGGATGATTATGTGTATTGGTCTGCATGTGTTTAAAATCAGTGATATTTGCTGTGTGAGTAAATCATTACTGAATGTGCTGTCAATGAAGTATATCTATTAGTTGTGCCCGACGAGCTATTTGTGTTGCGGTTTCTGAAGAGAGGTTATGTTCAAAATTATAAATTACGAAAAACTTTGAGGAGAATTACGGGAAATCACCACCGCGCCCGCGTTGTGTGTAATTACTGTTAGCATGTATATGGCTTGTAATTCGACAGTGAAAATAACTATTTCTTATCTCGCTCATTTGTGAAATTCAACAAATTTGTATATGTAATTTTCCGAATGGATAAGAAAAAGTGGATCCGCAACTAATTTCTAGCTTTGAATCTCACGTAAATGTATTTGAGACAAGAATCCAATGGAATTATCATCAACACATACAAATGACAGCTTGGACCTCCAGTAATGTCATCGCTGAAGCAGATTTTACATCACATCAGAGCCAAACTTTTAAGTTGGGTATCTAAGACATGGAATTCGTTTTTTAAGTTTTGTTTAACAATCTATAAACCGTTGATGCAGCAACGCTGCTTTTAGGCCTGAATTATCGAGTTCTATACGTTTTGTGATGTTCGATACTTGTGTCTCGAGTCATCTATGGCAACATCTGTCATTGTTAAGCACATTAGGTTGGACGATGCAGTTTGACCACAACTTTATACCTATCCTACTACCACTTCAGGAGAAACTTGATATTGAAAAACGCCTTTTGAAAGTTAACTTTTAAGCAAACGTGCGTACCTGCGATCGAAACAGTATTACTTTATAAAAGCTATCTTTCAGTTCAGCAAATTCAGAAAAGCTTCGGACATACCAAACCACTTCATCCGCGAGAAGCGCGAGCTGATTGGCTATGTGAACCGGATCGAACCAGATGGCGCTCTACTGATGGTGCAACACAGACCATTAATCAACCTGCCTTTTATTCGACCTAGTCACCTACCAGTAAAAATATCCGGAGTTCGAGTATCAGGACTTGGACTTAGCTGGTTGCAAACCGTCGTTGCAGGGAAGGAAATAAAGTTCATACCGATCGTCAAGGAACGAGATTTCGTTCAGTGTCAGGTGTTTTTGGAGAAGCAGACTAAAGAGGTAAATTGCTATTTAAAGGTTTTTGAAATTTCCAAGTCATTGGAAAAGTTCAAATAGCCAGATCCTAAATATACTTGACATAACTTTTAACAAAATTTGTCGTGTATTAAGATATTCCACCAAAATGGGCATATGCATGATGCCGCCAACCACTACGTTAATCGTGATAGCAAATAACAGCTAATTATTTAGTAACATTTCAAAATACCCCATATAGACAAGTGACACACAATTCTCACGGATCTACCAATGCTAGATCTGTGAGCAGAGTTGTATTTTGTTGTAGTGTGCTACGGATGCATACTTCCTAACTGCGCTTTGATTTAGAAAAGTTCCTTTGCGAACAAGAAAAAGCACTTGAAAGAAAATGAATGGTGATGATCATGACTATATTTCAAGTCAGGTAGGAATAAAAGAAAATAAACTTTTTGACTATGTTTGGTATGGACAGTTTTGAATACGTTTTTGAGTTTTACCCGATTCATACTCGATTCATTATTTGTCGTTACGTCACGCAATTGTGGAGTAAACTCATCCAGTCTTATGGTAAGGCTCATGTCGTTGCTCTTGATATCACGAAAGCGTTCGATGAGCTGTGGCACGCCTTTCTCTTCAGATTGGCAGATGGGTGGTTAACTTTTTTTCTAGCCGCCAGATATCCATCGTAATCGACGCGTTCTCCTCTTCGTCCCACAACGTCAACGCGGGTGTTCGCCAGAGATCGGTCTTGGCTCCGACACTATTCCTCTTACATATCAACGACCTCATTTCCTGTGCGATCAATCCAGCCTACACAGCTTTGCTGATGACAGCACTATACATGCATGCATTCTGAGCGGCAAGCCGACCTCTGCCGGTGAGCTGGAATAAATAAAATTAGCAGCGACTTCCTCTCTGACGAGAGACCTGGAGGTTATTACTGTTTGGTGACGCAACAGTCTTGTACAGTTTAATGCTTCCAGAACATAGTGTGCCTTACCTTGACGAACAAAAAGCGTTATAGCGCTCATCCGGGTCAGATGGATGGCCAAGTTCTGCCAAAGAGCTGTTCATTTCGGCTGGTCCGACTGTAAAAAAGTTAGGATATTTGTTTACGGTTAAGAAATATTCTTTCCACATGACCTGTCAGATAGACCCGCCTTCCATCCTAACCGTGTCGAACATCGTACATCCAGAGCTGGCCGATACGACCGCTCCTTTGTCCATAGAGTTGTCGAGATTGTGGAACAATCTACAAGCGGAGTTTTTTCCCAGTTCTACTAACATTAGGCAGTTCAAAAATCGGATTAACAAAGTTTTTTTGGGATCCTCATAGCAGCCACGGCTTCCTGGCATTTAGGCTTCTGCATGTGCGGCTGCTTCGGTGTAAAACATGTAAACACTACTTTGATACAGAGATGTCACTTGCTGATCCGCTGTTCACCTCAGTAGTCGTTAAAACGTAATTGATACTCATGGAAAAGGTCATATAAGTGTCGACAATAACCTTCAAGCGTCAGCGACTCCCCTTCTCGGACTGTTGCCGTAAATTATAGCTTTCCTGTATCGTCCTTGAGAAGATCTGAGAACACAAAATCTTATGAATAACAGGGAAGGATATTGAACGGTGATATTTCCGTGGTAGCTTGATGTTGATGTTTTTAACAGAGTTTACACACTTTTCACAGTTCAACCCGAACTTAAACGCAACTTAAAGCGAGATTAGCGAGATGAAAGAAAACACTTGTTCACGCTTATGATGGTATATTGCAACTACTCTGACATTACAGAGTGACATGCACATAGTGGACAAACACAGTAGTAACGACATATGACACTAGATGTCGCTACTTTGACCAATTTTAAATATATAACAGCTACAGTAAACTTTTGGTATACTTATTCACAACACTCCCACTTAACAAAAGTTTACTAATGGTTCTCTAAAACCTTTTAAAATATCTGTCATGCACAACTTAACTTAAACCTAAACCCTTTACAAACTTTGAATTCTTAACATTTTGTAATGGTTTCGTTAAAACATCTGCAACCATTTCGTTAGTAGGTGTATACATTAATTTCACTTTACCTTCTAACACAATATCTCGCAAGAAATGGTACCTTATATCTATGTGCTTTGACCTATCATGGAACATTGGATTGCTAGCAAGCTTCTGAGCACTTTGATTATCATTATGAATCTCAATACAATCCAATTTTCCAGTTAACTCGCTCAACAAATTCCTCAGATATATGGCCTCTTTTGCTGCCTCGCTTAGAGCCATATACTCTGCCTCAGTTGTCGACAAAGCAACAGTACGTTGTTTACAGCTTTTCCATGAAACTGAACCCCCTGAATATTTAAATACATAACCAGTAAATGACTTTCTGTCTTGCTTATTGGACCCCCAATCTGCATCTGCAAAACCTGTCAAATTTAAATTATCCTTAAAAAATTTCATAGACAAGCTCTTTGTACCCTTTAAATAACGAAGTAAACGCTTTGCAGATTGCCAATGAACTTTAGTGTATGAGTTATTATACTGACTTAATAAGCTCACAGCATGAGAAATATCAGGTCTGGTCATTACCGAAAGGTACATTAAACTTCCAATAAGTTCTTGATATGGAACTTTTGGATCACAAATTTCACCACTGATATCGCTCAAGTTGATACTACTGTCAAGCGGAGTACTTACTACTTTGCTATCTGACATACCAAAACGACATAAAAGTTCATTAATATACAATTCTTGATCAATTGACAAACAATTTTTCGAATAATCCCTAGTGATTCTTATACCTAAACATTGTTTTGCCTCTCCTAAATTCTTAATTTTAAACTTTGAGTTTAAATGACCTTCAAGAAACTTCATTTCATTGTCATCAGACGAAAAACAGAAAAAATCGTCAACATAGAGAGCAACAATGGTTAACAAATTACTGTTATTCCTTTTAATGTACAAACAAGGCTCATATTTGGACTTAGAATAACCAATTTTTGACAAAACTTGGTCGACTTTTTCGTTCCAAGCACGACTAGATTGTTTTAATCCATAAACTGCTTTCTTCAATCTATACACTTTATTTTCTTTATCTTTAATGACAAAACCTTCAGGTTGCTGCATAAATACATTTTCTTTCAGAATACCATTCAAGAAAGCTGTTTTCACATCCAAGTGTAAAATTTTTAGATCTAGCCTAACAGACAAAGCAAGCAATAAACGAAAAGTTGAGTGCCTTACCACTGGGGCGAAGGTTTCAACATAGTCCACACCCTCTCTCTGTGTGAAACCTTTAGCCACAAGCCTAGCTCTATACCGGTTATGGCTTTCATTATCACTCTTCACTTTATATACCCACTTGCACTGCACCACTGTACCAACTTCTGGCGGATCTACTAATTCCCAAGTGTCATTATCGATAAATGACTGTATTTCTTCTGACATAGCTTCTTTCCACTTCTGCCCATCTGGCCTTGAAAGAGCCTCAGTCACTGATGTAGGGATACTCGAGTCATAGACTTCACCCTTGCTGTTAACACCTCCAAAATATGTCACAAAATCTTGAAAATTCTTCTTCTTGATCTGTCTTTGGGATCTTCTTGGAGTTACTTGTTCACCATTATCAAACAAGTCATGGCACTGACCTTCAGGCACATATTCATCATCATCCGAGAAGTATACATCATCTTCAGAAGATTCATCATCTGAATACATGGGATTCTGCTCTCCCACTGAATCTGGAACTTCCCTTTGCTTATCTGGAACACTATCCGGCAACACTGTACTTGGAATTTCCAAACTTGGTTTCTCTATGATTGTTACATCACGGCTTACTATGACTTTCCTTGTTCTGGGGTTAAAACACCTATATCCTTTGGTAGTTTCATCGTACCCAACAAGCACATGCTTCACTGACTTCTCGTCCCACTTGTTCCTACTGACCTTCGGAACATGAACCATGGCGGTACTCCCATATACCCTAAGATGACTAAGATTTGGTTTCTTACCTGTCCAAATCTCATATGGTGTCATTGAAAGCTTTGAACATGCTGAACGGTTTTTCAGGTAACAAGCAGTATTACACGCTTCCGCCCATAATGCCTTGGTCAAGCTCTCATCAAATAAAAGACACTTAGCCTTCTCCACAATGGTCCGGTTGAACCTCTCAGCCATCCCATTTTGCTGCGGAGTGTGACTGCTCGAAGTCTGGTGTATGATGCCTGAATTCTTTAAAAAACTATCCATTTCTCTATTACAGAATTCCCCACCATTATCGCTTCGCAAAATCTTAATCTTAACATTCTGTTGATTCTCAACTAATGATTTAAATTGCTTAAACTTATCAAAAGTTTCATCTTTTGTCTTCAGGAAATATATAAAGCACATTCTGCTGTAATCATCTATAAATGTCAGGAAATATTTAGCTCCACCAATAGATGTTGTTTCCATAGGACCACAAATGTCGCTATGAATGACCTCTAGCAGTTGCTGTGCTCGACTGCCTTCTTTGGGAAAAGGTAAACGGGCTTGCTTGCCCCTACAGCATACCTCACAACTCCCAATGCTTGTACCATTACAGATAAGACCATCAACCAACTTGGCTGTCTTATTCAGGTAGCTGTCATTAATGTGACCTAAACGTTGATGCCATAAATTGCTACTTACAGCTTGAAAACACACTGGCTCCTCACAAACGTTCAACTTGTAAACGTTGTTATGTAGACTAGCAGTAGCTACTGATACACCAACTTTATTGTAAATATTGCACCCCTCTTCATGAAAACTTACTCTATTTCCATTATTGATTAACTGGCCTACTGATAATAAGTTAGTTGTTAAACCAGGAATATACTGTACACCTTCTAGTAAAATCTTGTGCTGTTCATTGGTCATTGTTTTGATCTCAACATCACCTGCACATTCCACAACAACTTTCGATTTGTTAGCCATTACAATATCAGGTAAGTCAGGCTTTCTCCTGTTTTTTAACCACTGGCTATTGGCAGTTAAATGCTTGCTGGCACCACTATCAACATACCAATCTGTGACCTTAAAATCACCTGTTGTAAACACGGCACTAAATCCTCCTTCAAGTCTGTTATTGTTAGGGCATTTTGACATAAAATGTCCTGTCTTTTTGCACTTGTAACACACAATATTACTCAGATCCTTTTTATTATGTCCATTTCCAAAACCACTGTTTGAACTTGACCTCGATTGAACCCCGAAATCATCTGTGTTTGTTGACATTCCCGCTTGGCTAGCACCAGCTGATTTTCCTTTGAAATTCGTCCTACTAGCGCCACCTCGCGACTGTTTCCGAAAACTCGGTTTCTTGGCGGAGAATGCACCTGCACTTCCATTACCACTAGCGCCATCTGTCTGCATATCCAATAACTTGGTCTTTATTGAATCTGTGGTTATGCAGATTCCTGAGTGCTCGACGGCCATGATCATTGGTGCGTACTTGTCTGGAAGACCGGCCAGCAGCAATGATCCTACCCACTCCTCGTCTATTTTGAAACCTGTTCTGCGTAACTTTTGGGAAGTCTCAACAATCTGGTTTATGTACGACTCCATACTATCATGATTCTCTAATCTTGCCGATATGAGTGTACGTAAAAGTCCAATCTTTCGCATGAAACCACTGTCATCATATAAACGTTTGAGACTGGTCCATACTTCTTGTGCAGTCGTTAAATCTTTGACATGCGGGAACAAAGATGGATCGATGGTTAATACTAGCTTGGCCTTTGCTTTTGCTAGGGTCGTTGTGTCGGTCTCGGTACCTTCGATGCATTTGTTTAAGCCCTCTAGCACAAACACATTCTCGACGGCAAACGCCCATTCATCATAATTCTCACGGCCTAAAAGCCTTGGCACACTCGTCAGGTAGTTGACGGCCATATTTGTTCTGTGAGAAACACTTGCGTCACGACAGTTTCTTTCAACGTCTCGATTCACTAAAGTTTCGCTGCTGGGTGTCCTACTGTGGGTCTGGGCCCATAACCTGATGTTTTTAACAGAGTTTACACACTTTTCACAGTTCAACCCGAACTTAAACGCAACTTAAAGCGAGATTAGCGAGATGAAAGAAAACACTTGTTCACGCTTATGATGGTATATTGCAACTACTCTGACATTACAGAGTGACATGCACATAGTGGACAAACACAGTAGTAACGACATATGACACTAGATGTCGCTACTTTGACCAATTTTAAATATATAACAGCTACAGTAAACTTTTGGTATACTTATTCACAACAGATGTCCTGTTTGGAAATAAATAATTTTCTCCAAAAGGAAAATAGAATCTATATTTATTTTTTTTAATGGCGTTACTGGGATCCTTATTGGCAACATGGCTGTGATGATTGGAAATTGTATGTGAACGATCAAATACAGCGTAGGGTTTGGCATTTTTTGCAAGAATATGTTAATGATTGTACCAGCTTATGGAGATATTAACTAACCCAGATACAACCTGGATTTTGTGGATTATTATTATTACCTGTTCAGGTCCGGTTTTTCGAGAAGAGGTTAACTCTCAAGTGGAGTAACTATAAGTTTGAAGTTAACTGTCAGTTGCCCGTAAATTCGTTTTTCAAATTCAGATTAACTAACTCGTTTTTGGTGGTGTAGCAATGCTGCTTTTGCATACGAACTTTCATAACAAAAGTGGCCAAAGAAAATTGCTGGAAATTATTATCAGCTTCCTTAAAAGGCCACAAGGGGCGTAATTTTAATTTCAAAAATTCAAACGCCATTATTCTGAAACTCTATTATGTTATTTGCTCAATTTTCGAACTTATTTCTCAATGTCATTTTTCGTTTAGGGTGGGGGAACGATTGAATGTCATGCCAGAAAAAGTAATATAACTTTTGTTTGGCTGCACCGATTTTCACTATCTTGGTTTCATTCGAAAGAACTTGCGCCTGCGCTTCTACTCAAGGCTCGGTCTTTCAAATTAGTTCACTTTGTGGCCACTAGTTCGCGTTTTATGGATGTGTCCCTTGTTTTTTTAATTCTTTCGAAAATTTAAAATACAACGGTATACTGTTTTAATATTGCGAAAGAGCATAAAAATCCTATAAAATGGCGAAACCGCAGATCAATATCATCATTCGTTATGGAGATATAATAAATAATATGCTTAAATTACAATAATTGAAAATTATTTTCAAGTACTACTGGATAAAAATAAAATTTCAAGCTATATATAGTTATGTAAAATATATCACTAAGATATTTTACTTGGATATTCATGTTTATCCTTTTTATAACCCATCAATGTTGGACATAAACAAACTATGAACTGTTTTATAAGCTATCTGAGTGATGTCGTACCGAATATATTTTTTTATCATCTATTTCAGAAGAAGCCTCATGTATTGAACGTAGGGGAGAGCCTTTTAAAGATCGGCTTTGCAGTAACAGAGCATCCCACAAAACCTTTGTCAGAAGATCCGTCCTACCTAACCTACTACCACCGCTTACAAAGCGCAGAAAACTATGCCCTTCGTCAAAAAATGGGTCTCAGGTATTACATAGCCCCAACTCGAGAACTGATCTTCAAACTGTATAGTTGGCTAAATATTTTGATTGATCGTCTGATCAAACAGATTACCAAGACTCTTCCGAAGGTTCCCAAGTTTTATGTTTCATAGCAATCAAGGATCCACGTAGTGATTGATGTGGCAATTCTGATTCTGCAAATATTCGCCATATACAAAATATTGAAGTTTTTCTTTTATCCAAAACGTGAAAAATCAGTGTGGGAGGATTTGGTATTGGTTCTTGAGCCATAAAACTATTGCGCATGTGATTAAATGATGTACATTGAAATAATGGTGTACCTACTGAAGAATAAAATTAAAGTACACATTTTTGTATCAACTTTTTGAAATAATTGTAATTATTGCAAATTAAGGTGTAGTTTGTTCAAAAATATTTTCCTTTTGTATAGAGTCGTACGTAAAAACTATTTTAGATAAAGTCACTGCCGTTGTGATAAAAACTTCCAATTAATTCCGGATATATTCAACATTTCTGATGCAGTTATGTAAAAAGGATTGAATCATGTGGATGGACACAACGAAAATACATTGTTAATGTTTTACATTATCTAGTCCAAAATAATTGTAAGGGCTACTAACTAATACTCTGTGCCTATAAATATACTCTCACGTAAACTACAAATGAGATTGTAATTGTTACATAAGTGATCAGCGCTAATTATTTCTTCTTAATCTACATATTTATGGCTGAAGAATTGGTATCAGTGGTGTGAATGACTTAGCAACCCCTATTCCTTATATGTTATCTATCTTATTGTATTTTATCACAAATTTGTTAACCGTATATGTAAAGTTGAATAAACTGGAATAAAATATAACTGCCCTGTGATACTGAAAATCTTGCTACCTAGTTGTTCTAGTTCAAATTTGACAGTAATCTATATAAGACTAGAAATTATGCTCCTAAGGACAGCAAGATTTATAAAAATTGCAGTATTTGGTTTTTATGGACTGACCAGTTTTCCTAAATCAGCTGTATGTATACGTTGTTGGTAATAAATCTTATTTTCCTGATGTTTTTTTTTCATTCACATCAGCGCTTAGTGGAAGTGTTTGGAAAACAGGGCATAAAGTTGCAACAAATTTCTAATACCATCGTTGAGATAACAATTACAAGAGAAAGGTATGCCAAGATGTATAGAAATTTGAAGGGGTGAATTCTTGAAATGAGGGAGGGTGGACTTGAGGGAATAACATCGATGAGAAAACGTATTTCACGAACATGGGCGGTATTAATCGGTGCAGACTCTGATGATGATTACTTCTTAGCTTCCCAAATTACGAGGTGCACTCCAATCTGAGAAAGAACGTGAGAGTTGTGACTTTTGACCGCAGCAGTCTTTCCTGCTCCAGAACATTGAATCAGACCGGAAAAACATTATGTGGCTTCGGCTCAACTCCAAATTAATTTGGTGCCTTTATCGCTCTCCCTCGGACCATAACTGGGATGACCTACTTGAATACCTCCTTGTCAAGATTGTCGATTTCCAGTACATCACCCTGCTTCTAAGGTAGTTCTCATCGATGATTTCAATGCCCATAGCGAGCTTTTCTTGGGCTCAAACAAGACCGGTGCAGTTGAAGCGCTCGCTATTACTGACGCAGCTGGTAACGATCCCTACTTTTTTCACCCGCGGTGTTGAGGGGGTTAGGTTTCGGCCAGAGCTCGCTGTGGCAGCAGAAACTCGCCCAGGCCGCAAAATTGGGCATTACGGACATGCCGACTGGGGACTCAGATACTTCTTCTCCACCTTTCCTTGGAGATATGTTTGTTTCTCTGACGCGGGTGCGTCGGTTGTCTGTTCAACGAAAACTGAAATTATCCACGTTGGGATGGAGAAACACATCCCTCAAACAGTGAAAGTGCCTAAATCAGGGCCCAATGGCTGGTTCAACAAATCGTGTGACACTGCTTGTCAGCAGAAGATCAAGGCACACAGAACCTTCATACAAAACCCCACTGTAGAGAACAGACAAGCCGACGCCGAGCCCAACTCAAATATAACGAACCGGTCCGCAATGGCAAAGACCAGCACGATATAAAAGTTAGGTACAGGGTCATGTCGCATCGTAATAGCAGTCGGCCATTCTGGACTTGATCCCTGCCGTTAAATTGAAGAGGTGTGAAGCGGGGCTTGTTCCAGTTCTTGCGCGTCTCTTCCAGATATCTTACGAATTCGGCACTTTTCAAAAAAATCGAAATTTGCTCATGTCCAACCCATCCCAAAAAAGGGATCTGAGACCCTTACAACTACAGGCATATACTAGCTCTTAATAATAAAGCATTTAATGCCCAACAGTACAGGTACCATTTAGAGAGCAATACATAGTACAATGGTTTAATTTACAGAGCCTATGTGCCATAAAGTGAAACAAAAAACACAGAAAAGAGGAAGGCGCTTTAAGTAGAGCGAAAAGAAACTATAAATATGATTAATAGATATTAGGAAACCAGAATATACTACGACCCCCTTCCCACGTCAGTTGGCCCAACTGTTGAAATCTTAGTTTTTTTCTTATCAAACATAAATAATAAAAATGTAGCAGGGTGTTATAGGTTTAAAATATTAACTATGAATATTTTGATAATATATAGTAGAAAACACCAACTTTATCATTCCCTAATCAAATTTGCAGCATAAAAATAACACATGTTGCAATTACAGCATATCAACCTATTTTCATTTCAATGCAAAATAAGTCTATAACGCATAGGTGGCTGCGAAAAATAAAAGCCATGACAATTGTTTTTATTAATCACAGCTGTCACGTTTAAAATAGTTTTGGGTAGTTAAGGTTTTCAAAATGGATAGAGGAAAGGTTATTAGTGAGAAAATTCGGTTACTGATAATTAAATTTATTAATTCTGGGAAATCACACTCAGAAATTGCAACTTTGTTAGACTTTGCGCGGTACAGTGTGAAAAATATTGTTAGAAGATATAACGTAACTGGTTCAGTTAATATTAAGCCACGATATGTGAAAAAAAGTAATATCACAAATGCCGATCGAAGATCATTAAGAAGAATAATCGTGAAAAACAGGCGTGCCAATTATTTACAATTAAGTGCTCTGTGGAGTGACGCTGTTGGAAGGAGAATTTTGAGGTCCACAACTCATAGAGAGTCCCACGAACTGGGATTTAGCACTTGCAAGGTAAGTTTTCTTACAAAAAAAAGTGAAGTAAAAACTCTAAAGTTGTACAACTTGTTTATAGGCCAAAGAAAAGCCACTATTAACTCCACTGCAAAAGGCTTAGATGGTGTGCAATACAATGGAGTGATGAGGCTCAATTCGAACTTTGTGTTGGTGACAGTCGCAGTAGAGTTATTCGCAAAAAAAATGAAGCATTCCATGTTGACTGTCTGAAGAGAAAAGTGAAATTTCCAGCATCCATTATGGTCTGGGGCAGTATGTCATCAAAAGGAGTAGGAAAACTTCATTTTATTGATGGAAATGTGGATACAAACAAATATTTGGCAATTTTAGAAGAATCGATTTTACCAGTGATGGAAGAATGTTTGACATCGGGCCAAGATTTTGTGTTTCAGCAAGATGGTGCAGCGTGCCATACCTGAAAAAAGGCTATAAAATGGATGGAGGAAATTAATGTGCCGCTTTTGAAATGGGTTTCTAGCAGTCCAGATCTGTCACCTATTGAAACTTTGTGGCACGAGATGAAAAAGGTTCTACGACAACATCCTGCTCGTACAATCACCGAACTAAGACAAAAGCTTCAAGAAATATGGGATTGTTTTACACCAAATTTTTGCCAAAACTTGGTTAACACTATTCCCCAAAGAATTTCAGCCGTAATAAAAAATAAAGCTGATGTTACCCAATGGTAATCTTTCAATTGTTGCTTTGTTAACTTCGCGCATTCATTCGCACATTGTTTATTTGTTCAAATGTTCTATTAGTTATAGGTCTAAGTGATTTCAAATGTGTTTTTACGACTAGAGTGTATCTAAAATGTTTTTGAGAAAATAAATTGTTTTAGAAGTAAATAGTTTCGTCATGTTTAGTTTATAAAGGCATGTTTTGGTACAAATCTTGAAGTGGGCCAACTGAAGTGGGAAGGGGCTCGTACATATACATACATAGACATATATACACATATATATATATATATATATATATATATATATATATATAGCCATATCATGTAATGTTCACACATAAATATATAACAAACGAAAACCTTTAGAGACAGGCGTAAAAAAAGTCAAAGACAATCCTATTCGCATTATTGCACATAAAGTTTATTGGTGCTTTAGATAGAAGATTTGTCTGCGCCATATTGTGGTAGTTAAAAGTGAGCTGACAATCGAAATAGACACCCAAATCTTTGGAAGTTTCACACCTTTCCAATACAGAATCATTTATTTTGTATGGGTAAGTTAAAAATTTGGCTTCCGGGTGAAGGTCAAAATGTGGCATTTAGAATTGTTCAGATACAAATTGTTATTAACACGCCATGTTTGTAAAAAAAATTGTTGTTGTTGGAGGTTGTCACAATCCTGCCAGCTAGAAACACATGCGTAAAGCTTCAGATCATCAGCAAACATAAGCTTCTTGCATGATAATGTGCTGCAAAGATCGTTAACGTAAAAGGCAAACAATAGGGGGCCCAAATTGGAACCCTGAGGTACACCACTACTTGACATATATTTGTAAGAACTAAACCCATTATAGACTACATATTGAGTTCTCAAGTCTAGATAAGACTTGAGAAGATCCACATAAGTTCTGTTGAATCCCATGTATTCAATTTTTTGTACAAGTAATTGATGGTCAATTTTGTCAAACACTTTTGTGGAATCAGTATATATGACATGACTTACAAGTAAGGTGATGGAGAGGTGCATAAATCCTGAGCTTCTGGACTACATTGAACGTCACGGCTTGATTAGCGACAGACAATATGGTTTCCAGTACTAGCGATCCACAGGGGACCTGCTAGAAGACGTCACGCAATTGTGGAGTAAACTTCCATCCTATGGTCTGCTAGAGAAGTTTTGTCGATGGGTGGCTGACTCTCTCGCCGAAAGATGCCCGTCGTAATTGATGAGTTCTTTTCATCCGACAAAGTGAACGCAGGAGTTCCCCAGGGGCGGTCTTGGCTCAGACACTGTTCCTATTACATATCAACGACCTCCTTTCCTTTACGATCAATCCACAGCTTTGTTGATGACAGCGTTCTACATGCGGGAATTCAAAGCGACAAGCCGATCTCTGGCGGTGAGCTGCCAAAAAAGAAGACTAGCAGCGACGTCCTTTCTGACGAGAGACAAAACACAGTACTGTACATTGACGAATAAAAGGCATCCTAGCGCTCCTCAGGTTTCGATGGATTGCCGAGTTCTGCCAAAGGGCGGTTCATTTCGGCTGGTCGTAGTCCACACACCTCGTCAGTAGCGGCAGCTGCTGAGAAAAAGCTACGCTACTGGTTTAGAGCTAAGAAGTATCTTTTTCCGCATGACCTCCTTAGTCTATATAAGACCCAGTTAAGACCTAACCTCTAATATTGCTCATACGTTTGGTGTGCTGCCGCCCCGCCTGTCTTTGGCCTCCCATCCTTACCGTGTCGAACTTCGTACATCAAGAACTGACTGATACGACCACTCCTTTATCCCGAAGGTGTCGAGATTGTAGAACAATCTACAAGAGGATGATTTTCCAGGTTCTACTAACCTTGGGCAGTTCAAAAATCGGATTAAGAAAAATCTGCGATCCTCATAGCAGCCGTAGTGTCCTGGTATTTAGGCTTCTGCCTGCGCGACTGCTTAGGTGTAAAAAAAGTAAATAATTAAGCATGGTGATCTTACCTCTCAGGCAACTGTAATCCTGAATACTGATAAAATAGTCACGCCCTGAGTTACTTTCGGGAGCAAAAATGCAGAAGTATCTCCATCGTTCTTCAGTCCGATCTCTAAAGACGAAGATAACTTCCTAACGGAACTTTTAATAATACGGAGAACACAGGAGCATATCATTTTGCAAAAATGGATGCA